ATTTAACTTTTAAAAAAAATTACTTAAAAGCTAAATATTAAAAGTATCTAAATAACTATCATAATTAATCTATAATATTTATCAAATTCCTACATGATCCCCATCGATTGTATTAGGGAAGAATTAGGGATGAGAAGGGAAGAAAAAAAGGATGAGAAAAGAAGAAGAAGGAGATGGGAGTAGAGAGAATTTTAAAAAGAAAATTTAATATCAATAATCAATAATCAAAGTCTAGTCCTTCAACAAATATGTATCCCCTATATATATAAGGAATTCACAAATCTTATATATATAAGGAGATTATAAACCCTAAAATAAATAAATAATTAAAATGACAACTAAATCCTTAAAAGTTAAAAGAAATTACTTAAAAGCTAAATATTAAAAGTATCTAAATAACTATCATAATTAATCTATAATATCTATTCAATTTCTACACAATCCCTATCATTCTCCTCCGGTTGAAAAAAATTTTCCTCCGAAGAGTCTTCAAAGTAGAAGTACTCCAAGAGAGCAGGATAAAGATGGCATAATGCCTCATCTAGAATGAAAGAACCATCGACTTCTTTCCGTCGACCATGATAAATGCAAGAATCTCTATTTGTATGAACACCTGCGAATAAAATAGGAGGCTCTGGAGTACCTCGATTAAGCAGCATGTCCTCCCAATAAAAATCTGGACTAATACTAACATTCAATGACAAATTAAGCAAATAAGCATTAGATCCAAATTCAAGAATAGCAAAATAATTTTCATTAGATTTGAACAACTAGCATTCAACGGGACAAGACATCAATGACAAATGAGTAATTATAACACCCTGATGTTGAAAATAAGAAAGTATAGATTCAATTGAACACTACACTGTAGGCAGAGAATCAAAGTTAACAATCTCAAGTGAGGCAGAATCTAGAACAATGTCAACAATCTCCGGTGGAAAAGAATCCGAAACAAAATCAACAATCTCAAATGAAGAAGAATCCACAAAATGTCAACATGATTCAGAATAGTAGACATAGAATAATTGCCAACAAATTGTAAAATATATAGCTCAATATGCTCAATATCTTGCATAGGAACTAACTGAATGAATTTTTTCTCAAGTTCAATGCTTAGTGATGATTCAACTTTTGGCACCGATGAGATAGGAAACATGATAGGATCAAAAATAATCTCATCACTAGTATCAATGTTCAAACGATAGAAAGTATGTTTTGAAAGATGTAAAGCATGAGGGTCCAATGGAACAAAAATATGGCTATCATTATACAGGTGTCCGACATTAGGTGAAAATGGAGACCTGTCCTTATTTTCTTCCATTTGCTGACTTGCAATAATTTTATTCAAGTGAAAAAGTTGTCTTGTTAATTTAGATAATTGATGTAGATCGTAGTAGGGAAGAATTAAGGATGAGAAGGGAAGAAGAAAGGAATGAGAGAAGAAGAATAAGGAGATGAGAATAGAGAGAATTTTAGAAAAAAATTTCGATATCAATAATCAATAATTAAAGTCTAGTCTCTCAACAAATATGTATCCCCTATATATATAAGGAATTCACAAATCCTATATATATAAGGAGATCACAAACCCTAAAATAAATAAATAATCAAAATGACAGCTAAACCCTTCAAAGTTAAAAGAAATTGCTTAAAAGCTAAATATTAAAAGTATCTAAATAACTATCATAATTAATCTGTAATATCTATCCAATTTCTACACGATCCCCATCACCACCTCATTCAATATTCACTACCTTCATTTCTCATAAATAGAACCACCACCATAACCACACAATTTATGTCTAAAACAACATGTGTAAGTTCAATAATAATAAAATTCAATGGAAATTGAAATAAAAATTTGCAACTTGAATTAGAATCATATGCAATCAAACTTGAATTTCTTATAAAATTTGACTTGTTTGCATCAAATCCAATTGTAGAACAACCACATCTTTGGCTTCTTTATATCAATTACAATTGCGCCCTTAAAATCAAACTTAGCCAAATGAGTCGGCATCAAGGTATGGACAAATTACTTGCCATGGAGAGAAGAGAGAGGACAGATTGCTCCTTGGTCGAACTTGTCTGACAACCTATTTCCGATGACCTGACCACGCAAAAGAAGAAGAGAGAGAGATTATTGCTGGTTGTGAGAGAAAGAGAAACCTAGATATCCTCTCCAAATGTTGATGAGATCGTTGGGTGGGGGAGTGGGCAGTTACTGGATTGATGGTGGGGGAAGGAGAGTTGGAGGGGGGAGCTATGGCGATGGCATGGGAGATAACGCGAGTTGTAATGGTGGGGTGGGGAGAGGCGAGCGGTGGGCTTTGGAGGTGGTTTGTGATGAAGGAAGAGGGAGTGAATAGGAGAAGAAAGGGGAGTGTTGTGTGTGTCTCGCCAGAGGTGGTGGAGGAGGCGGCGGATGGAATGGAGTTGTGGCACATGAGTTGGCGAAGGAGGTGGGTAGTTTGTCAGGAGGGGGCAAGGGAAAGAAGAAGCTTGAAAGGGTATTTTTTTCTTTTGAAAAGGTAAAAGGGCATCTTTGTATCTTTGTATTTTTATTTAGAAAAATGGAGCATAATTGCCATCAATATAGATGAAAATTGTAACGATTGCAAATTTGTCAAACTTGCAGTGGTTATATGGTGATTTTTGAACTTTAGAAGGTGATGTAGACTAGAGATGGAAGAATTAGAGATAAGAAGAGAAGAAAAAAGGGATAAGAAAAGAGAAATAATTATGATTCAACTTTTGGCTCCGATGAGGTTAGAAATATGATAAGATCAAAAATAATCTCATCACTAGTATCAATGTTCAATTGATTGAAAGTATGTTTTGAAGGATGGAAAACATGAGGGTCCAACAGAAAAAAAATATGACTATCATTATGCGGGTGTCCGACATTAGGTGAAACTGGAGACTTGTCATATTTTTCTTCCATTTGTTGACTTGCAAGAATTTTAGTCAAGTGGGAAAGTTGAGTTGTTAATTTAGATAATTGATTTTTCATCCTTCTACACTTTTCACGTAATTGAACGAGTGAATGTTTGCTATTAGCACCTCTAATTTCAAAGACCTCAATCTTTTTCTCTAAGGCAGTTTGGGCTTTTGAATAGTCACTAATGATTGAAGATAGATCTAGATTGACTTTGATGACAACTTCTACACAATCTCAGTCATTCTCTTCCGGTTGAAAAAAACTCTCCACCAGAGAATTTTCAAAGCAGAAGTACATTAAGAGAGCAGCATGAAGATGACAAAACGTCTCTTCAGTATCTAAATAACTATCATAATTAATCTATAATATCTATCAAATTCTTATATGATCCCTATCAGGAAGCTGAAGTGCTAAACGGCCAAACCACAAGAGGTAAAATGGAGTTTACCCTTCATTAGACCAAGGTGCCATTAGATTATTCATTGATTTTGATTCAACCCAACATTTGATTTGCTTTAAAGTTTCTAAACCACAATTGAGCCCAAAATTTGATGTACTTGGAATTTATGGATTGCCATTATTCATTGCAAAATCATTTTGTATTGTTTTGTCGGAGGTTCCTCATTGGCCTTGGATGGAGTTTAAAAATGTGCAGATATGTACTTTAGGGTTTAGAGTAAAAGAGAGTGGAAGAGAAGAGAAAAGAAATTACAAAATAGCTTGGGATGAGAGAATAATCTCATCACTAAACCTCTGCATGCATCTATATAAATATATTTTTTATTTTTTTATTTTTGATAGGCAATGATATTTTACACTACAAGGGAGGGGGAGGAAGGCTCGAACCATCAACATGCATCTATATAGTTACATAAGAAACTTACAAAAAATACAGTTACTAACATTCTATTGCCCTTGCATTTTTCCTATGCACTTAATTCCCGGCAAACATGCTATATTTACTTTTCCCTTAATCATGGTTTCAACTAGTTTCATTCCTCTTTCTGCTAATGTCCCTATATTCATATTGGACTAGTGTAAAGACATATGCTTTTCCAGTTGGACGTGGGAACCTTTCTGCATTTTGCACAGCATCTGGGCAGTTAAAATGCGGTCCATTGCCCATTTTTCTAGACATTGAGGTCCTGTAAATGAGGAGGTTGCGTAAGGTAGATGATAACCAACGTAAAACTTGTCATACCTCTAAATAATACCAATCATGAAATATACATGTAATACGAATCTAATTCAGAAGCAAACGCGATTAAATTTCATAAACAACGAGAATTTTCCCATTTCAGGAAAAGAAAGATTTATAATTTTACAATGAAGGCAACATTATCTGTCTCATAACCCATCCCGTTTTGAAGTAGAATAATTAAGGAAAATGAAAATTACCACTCGAAAATGAAAATTGAATTTTGAGCCATAGGAAATTTCTTTTTAGGTGTACTAGTCATAACTCGTGCCTGAAGGTATGATAAAATATAAAATTCGAGCTTCCAAAAAATCGAACACATTATATTAATTTTTTTCGAAATATGTTAATTACAAATTAATTAAATATTAAATGATTAAATATATGATAAAAATGAGTGATGTGATGTTTTTAGGAAAGAAATATATAAATGATTAAACATATGATAGAAATAAGTGATGCGATTTGACGTTTGAGTCTGACAAAAGGATGATGGGTGAAGTAAGTGATTGATGATGGTTTTGAGGGGGAAAATATGATTGAGACAAAATTCAAATACACTCCTGTTTTATTATATAAATATGTTTATATTGGCGTTAATATATGTCTTATGGGGGGCAATGGTTATTCTTCTGGCTGCCCACCCTCCGATTATAGGGTTTTTTTTTTTTTTTGAGGAAGGGAAGAATGAATAAGCGCCCTCTGAGTATAGTTAATGAAGGTAAAGTGTTCAGAATATATTAGCATTATGTTGGCTGGTTTTTGTTTAATCCTTCTCAGGTTCAAGGATCTGGTTTATTTTTATGCATTATGGAAATAATTATGCCCAGAGGATTGACTGGATAAAGATTCATCATTGCAGGTATCTCTCCATATGGAATTTTCGTCTAGGTGCTGCATTTGTGAGATCAGGAGTTACTTAGTACATTGTAATTAGATATCTACAGGAAAAGATGAATTTGCAGGCACATATGGCAGGACAGATTTCTGGGCAGGTACCTAATCAGGCTGCTCAGTTGCCCGGACTACCCCTACAGAATGGGAATACTCTTTCTCCTCAGATGCAAAATTTAGGTGGTCATCATAATACACCAAATGTGGAGCCTGACTTTGTGAAAGCGCGCAGATTTATGCAACAGAAGATGTAAGAAATTCTGTTCCAATTATTTAATGTCCATCATTGAATTTCTTTGTTAGTTGCAAATCTCTCTCTCGCAGAGTGATTCTGTTCCAGTTATTTAATGTACTCATGTGTGTACGTGTGGATGTGGAGACGAAAGGTGATTGGATGAATTCTGTATCACTATTAGGAACTTGAGTATGTACTCTGCGTGACTCCATTGCAGTTTATTCACCAGAAACAAAATTGGACATTTTTGCAGTTTTGAGACCAACTAATCTCATCCTTATCATTGAATGTATCCCCAACTCCTTCAACACCTTGTCCCTCTTGGATAGCTCCCTCACTTCCATGACTTTTCTTGAGAGAAGTGGCATCCAAAAAACCCAACTTTTTTGCGTTCTCCCACGAATCATCAACCAATACCCCTTTCCTCCTACATATATCGGTCACTAACAGTCCATAAGGAAGTGAGGGTATCTTTCCTTTACAAGTTAAGATTATTTGATCCATGATAAAATTGGGCAAGTCGATGGAATGCCCCACCCCTAGAGAGTACAAGAGTCTGGCCCTATTAATAATTTTTTTTTTTTTTTTATGGCTCTGAGGCATGATGTTATTTACCACAAGGAGGTTGAACCTATACTTGTCTACCAAAACCCCTTGTTTGATATAGTTTATTCCATGTCCCCAAACAAAATTAGGATTGCCAGTCAACTCTCGCCCAATAACACTCAAATCAACAGAAGGGTTAGTGGGAGACATAGCATTGGGCTCCCTAGGAATTGGTTAGTCTCCTAAAAAATGGTTCCCGCATCGGCATTGAAACGAAATCCCATTGTGTACGTGACAAACATCCTAGGTCTAGTAATTTCAGCATTATTATAAAATTCTTGAACCAAAACAGCTGCACAATCTCCCACTTGTCTCACAACCTCTTGCCAACAAAATTCTTTGCACACCCACCCTCTCAAAATCCTCCAAAATCATAGCACTTTAACAATAATATTTTTAGAAGAGAAGGTGAGTTCATACCTCTGACTTTGCTAATTTGTTGAAGTTGAGGTTTACCCTTGGTTCACTCTCATGGGGCCCATGATCTTGCTCTTCAGATTGCTCCGGTGGAGGCTGTACTTACAAGCAACTTGTAGGGTTGATGAAGTTCTACTTCTAGTAGTTGGTTTATTGTTACCTCCCTCTGTTTACTTGCTTCTTTCCTGGTCAAGATGCTTTTTATTGATTTGTGAAATCAGATTCACAGTAATATAAATACACCGTGTAGCCATCCCTCTGGCAAGAATGCTTATTTAACATGGTACATTGTGTGGGAATTCAGTAACCTTACTGGGTTAAGAAAGGGAAGCTTGTTCCTGTAAAGGCAGCCCACGATATCCTTGCTGTTATGAAAACATGTTGATTTTGACAGTTAAGCTGTGTTTGATCAATGAAGTTTGGGGGGTTAAAGCATTACTCTTTAACCAAATGGAACATTCTTGAGCTTAGGTTTAATAATGTCATCTGGAGTCTGGATGTTAATTTAATTTTACCTTGAACAACTTCAACATCCAGCTCTGTGCCTCAGTTAGTCATCTGCAGCAGTACCCAATCAGCCAAAGTAGTTATCAAACTGAATTTTGATGTATTTTTGAGTAGGTTTTTGCGTGGGTTTGGAATCTGGTTTTCTTCTGCTACAAATTATTGGAGCCCGACAATGTTCATTTCTTATGTGTCCTATACGGATGCATCCCCCCCCAACCAAAAACCCAAAACCAACAAACACCACCCAAATACACTCATTTTCTCTGGTTCATTTTGATTCTATACGCACAAAGCATCTTTGGGGGTTGTGATGCAGTATTTTACTTTTGCATGATGACCACATGCAAGTAGACATTCTGATACACCCTTGCTTGAATATCTGGGGTGAATTTGATGAGGGTACAAGACTTGCATTATTGATTTCAGAGTGCTTGGACTGCCTGGGAAGACTTCATAAGATAACTTGCCTGTTTTGTAGCATCGGGCTCAATTGTTTCCCATATCTGTGTCTAATCACTTACTTTCTGTAGTTAATGAGCCCCTAGTGGAGATTACTACTGTCATTCGTTGTCTTGTTCTTATCATCTTTGTTTCCCCCTTCCTTTTCTAACTCATTTGCGACACAAGTTTTTTTTTTTGTATGTAACTTAGAGCTTTTTATACAATATGGGACACTGATGAAATTTTGTAATCTCTGCTGTCCAGTTATGAGTTTCTAATGCAGAAGCAGCAGCAAGGGCAACATTCTGCACCGACAAAGAGGTTACTGGATATAGTAAGACGTTTAGAAGAGGGTCTATTCAAATCTGCTTCTTCAAAGGTTTCTTTTCTTCTTTTTCTTTTTAATTTTTAAACTCGGTTTCTTTTGTATGTGATTGTACTTTTTGGTTATTCCTGTACTTGCATTGAATTCTTTAAGTTGCTCTTAATAAAACAGAATCACATAACCTAACTTCCAGGGGCGGTTCAAGGTAATTTGAGGCTTAAAGCGATAATACTAAATTAGATTTTTTTTTTTAGTGTTATTTTTAAAAAATCAAAAAATATTTTTAATTTTTTTTAGGTGAGAGGAGGATGTGATATTTTGTTTTTGCTTTTTAAGAGAGATAAAGAGAGAATGGATGTGAGTAAATATTAGTTGATTTTTGAATATTTTTTTATTTGTTTTTTAAATTTTTGATTTTTGAGTTTCTAATGTTATGAATTGAATTGTAGGTCCAAATTATTGAAATTATAATTTTTTGATTGGGTTTAAATTTTTTGGGGCCTTTTTGTAAAGCATAAGATTTCATGGATTTAAATTTTTATGTGGACTAGTTATGTACCTAAAATTATGGGCCTTCTAAAAATTTGGGGCCTAAAGCCCACACTTTCTTTTTTTAACATAGTTGGGCCGGTCCTGTTATCTACTTTCTTTCTATATTTTAGGCTTTCTTTCTATCTCCTGTTCGAGTACAGATAGGTGTATTTGGGTGTTGAACTATTCATCAGAATTTTTTGTACTTTAATGAAGCATTTAATTATTTGAGTACATAAAATTTTCCTTTCTCATTTTATATGATGTGCACTTTTTTTTTTTTGGTATTATTAGGAAGAATATATTAATATGGAGACTCTGGAGAATCGTTTACATTTTTTGATCAAACCTCTGCCTCTAAGTAATCACAACGAACAATATCCTCAACATGTCAGTTCTTCCTCCACTGGTACAATGATTCCAACACCTGGTATGCCCCAAAGTGGAAACTCAGGCTTGATGGTTACGTCATCTGTGAACACTTCCATGGTTGCTTCTGGCGGTAGTAATAGCATTGCATCCACAACTGTCAACACTGGAAGTTTCATGCCAACTGCCAATGGACTTTCTGGTGCCATAAACATTGATTCTTTCAATTCATCCGATGGTACTCTTAACTCTAATTGTCTTGTTGATGATGCTATCAACTTCGCTGCTTTATTTCCATGTAATAGAATCCAATTCTGCAGGAACGTTGCCTAATGGATATCAACAGTCACCTCCTAATTTTTCCATCAGCTCTGGTGGGAATGGCATCGTGTCATCAATGGATGGACAGAGGATGACTAGCCAAATGATACCTACACCTGGATTTAATGTTAATAATAACCAGTCTTACATGAATTTGGAGTCTTCTAGTAATGGTGGTGGGTTTTCGAGTGTTGAATCTACGTTGCTATCACAGCCACTTAAGCAAAAACAGCATGTTGGTGGTCAAAACAGCCGTATATTGCATAACCTTGGCAGCCATATCGGTGGTGGTATTAGGTCAGGTTTGCAGCAGAAATCCTATGGGTTTTCAAATGGGACCTTAAATGGTGGGTTAGGAATGGGGAGTAATGTACAAATGGTGAATGGTCAAGGAACTTCTGAGGGCTATCTGACAACTGCACTGAGTGGCAATTCACCCAAACCTTTGCGACAACATTATGATCAACATCAGCAGCCAATAATGCTAGGTACTCTCTCCACCCCCCGCCTCTGATATATAGTTGTGTGGTATGATTTGGTTTTCAGAAACAAACCGCTGATATGCTTTTTCACCGCCAAAAAATTATTTTGCAGGTAATGGCTATGGGATGAGTTCTGCTGATTCTTCTGGGTCTGGAAACTTCTATGCTTCTATGAACCCTGGATCCATGACAAACAATCAGAACATGGATCCAATAACCTTGCAGGCTATACCCAAAACAAGCTCTTCTTTGATGATTAATCAGTCAAATTTGCATACTACTCAGCAGGTTGCAAATATGAAGCCTCAAGCAATTGATCAATCAGGAAAGATGGACTTTCAGTCTCCACTTTCACTGCGAGAGAATCTACAACCTCATCAACAGCAAAAATTTCAGCAGCAGCCTCCTCAGTTTCAACAGCAACTTGGGCAACATCAACGCCAGCAAAAACAACAAAGTCAGCAGGACCAGTTTTTGTTAAAAAATGAAGCTTTTGGTCAGTCTCAGTTAGCATCTGATCTAGGCAGTCAAATAAAGCCTGAGCCTGGAATGGAGTTCCGTTATGAAGCTCTGCATTCACAAGTCTCTGAACAATTCCAACTTTCTGAGATACAAAGTCAATTCCAACCTAGCTGTGCAGAAGATGATTCAAGAGGAACACAGTTTCTCTCTCTTCCGCTTGGCCAACAGGATTGCTCCTCACTCTCTCAAACTTCACAACAGATGCAACATTTGTTGCTTCCAAACCCCTGGGTTCCTGATGTTGAAAATGATTTCAGCTGTCTTCCTAGTGGATTTCAATCAGAGGCAGTTATGCAAGGTCAATGGAATACTAAATCCCAAGATGGGTCTCAGTTAACCAGAAACTTGTCACATGATGAAATCGTTCAGAAGGAATTTTCTCAGAGAATAACTGGACAAGATGAAGCTCAGCGAAATAAGTTATCATCAGATGTATCTATTACTTGTCCAACTGTTGGTACTAGAACTCAAGAGCCCCCAAATGTAAGCGGTGCTATGAGTAGATCTAGTAATCTAAACCGTGATCGGAATTTCAAAAATCAACAGAGGTGGCTGTTGTTCTTGATGCACGCGCGCAAATGTTCCTCTCCAGAAGGAAAATGTATTGATGTTAATTGCATAATTGCTCAAAAACTCTTGAAGCATTTGAAACAATGCAATGTAGCTCAATGCTCATATCCTCGTTGCCCTCAGACCCAGATATTAATGAATCATCACAGGTGTTGTAGAGATTTAAGTTGCCCTGTATGCCTTCCTGTAAATAATTATATTCAGGCGCACTTGAAGGCACGCACGTGGCCGGATTCTAATTCTGGTTTGTCGCGTTCAATCAATGGATCCTGTAAATCTTATGCTCCAGAAGACACTGCTGGTAGATTGACTTCTAAAATGAGTCCATCACTTCCATCACTTGTTGAAACATCAGAAGATTTTCAAATGTCTCTGAAACGGATGAAGATTGAGCAACCATCCCAATCTATTGCTTTGGAAGGCGAAAGTTCTGTCATACCAGTTCCTGCTATTAGTGAACCTCATGTTCTTCAGAATGAACAGCAACTTGGTGACACTAGTGTGCCAATGAAATTCGGCGTTGCTGAAGTAAAGATGAAGAGGAATGATGCAGATGATACCCAAAGGCCTGATGGTGATGCTAGCATGTTGAATGATCCTGCTGGTTTTGTCAAGCAGGAAAGCATTAAGATGGAGAAAGAGATGGACCAAGCTAAACAGGAGAATGTGGCACTGCCTGCAGAGAATGCTTCTGGAACCAAGTCTGGGAAACCAAAGATAAAGGGTGTATCATTGACTGAACTGTTCACTCCAGAGCAGGTTCAGGAGCATATTATAGGTCTCAGGCAGTGGGTTGGTCAGGTCAGTCTTATGGATCTGTTTATGTTATCTTATTTCTTTTAACCCGTCATGGAGAAAGTGTGATGAATATACTATGACCTAACCAGCCTAAGTAAGGCAATAAAACATTGATAACAATAGAGAAATTCAAACATATAATAAGATACCTATATTTGAATAAGTAACCCCCAAAATGAAATCTCCGGCAACTTATAAGGTGAACCGACTTATCTTTGGCCCTGAAAAGCAAGGCATACTGCTTTTTCCTATCAATCATCTTAGAGGCAATGTTGATGTAGGTTGCATGTTCCATGGCCACCAAAATGCAACCAAGTCTGCTATGTAAGCCAGGGAATACCAACAAAGTTTAGGTAATATTGACCACTATATGAAAAATAAATAAAGGGCATATAAAAGAAGAAACTTCCCTTTCTTATTCACTTGTTGCCCTTTTTGAAGTACACAGGAGATCTATGGCTTTCATCTCATTTTTAGAAGCTGAAAACTCGATAAGTTGGAAGGAAATCTCCCATATGGATTCAGCTCTATTCGTAAATAGCATAAGTACTGGAGAACATTGAGAATAGCTTGGAAATTTACAGAGAAGTATCCCAGATTAGAATTCAGGCATCTGCAAACACTAGCATCTCTTGTTTTTTCTTCCTCCTGCCTTTTTTGTTTTTCTTTCTTTTTTTGCCTCTCCTGAAATCCTTTTTCCATCTACATACCGCTTTTTGTTTGACTGGTGTCTACACGTGTGTCCACATCATGCCTCATCCTGTAAAAAGGCTGTATCTGATGAGTCACATAATTTGCCTACAATTGCATGGATCACAAAACTTGGAAGTAAACAACATATGCACTACAATAGGCTTTTAAGAAGAATACTGAGGATCTTACAACTCATTCTTCTTGATGTTGTTTGCATCCCACTATTTCAATGTAGTATTATTTTCTGCCATTTATAGTGTCTCCACAACTTCAGTACCTCTAACAATCTGCCTAACTAATGCATTTAAGCTTGTGTGACCTGACCCAATAAGGTGCTTCTTTGCGTTGGGGTATTATTGCATTTTGTTTGTTCGCATGTATATAAAGCCCTTGTCTGATGATTAGATCTACTATTTTTATTTCGTGCTATCTTACTGTATTTTTGCTGGGCCTTAAGTTTTCCCTTTTGCTTTTCCTTTTCCAGAGTAAAGCAAAGGCAGAAAAGAACCAAGCAATGGAGCAGTCAATGAGCGAGAATTCTTGTCAGTTGTGTGCAGTTGAGAAGCTCACTTTTGAACCACCACCTATATATTGCACACCATGTGGTGCTCGTATTAAGAGAAATGCAATGTATTATACTATAGGAGCTGGTGATACACGGCACTATTTCTGCATTCCATGCTATAACGAGTCCCGTGGTGACACCATTGTAGTTGATACAACAACTATTCTGAAGGCAAGGTTGGAGAAGAAGAAAAATGATGAGGAGACTGAAGAATGGGTACTTTTTAATTTGTTTTTTCGAAGGTTTTCCTTATAAATGTTTTGTCAGATCTTACATTTTGTGCCTTTTGCAGTGGGTTCAATGTGATAAGTGTGAAGCTTGGCAGCATCAGATCTGTGCACTGTTTAATGGTCGAAGGAATGATGGTGGGCAAGCTGAATATACTTGTCCAAACTGCTATATAGCAGAAGTTGAGAGAGGAGAGCGAAATCCCTTACCGCAGAGTGCTGTTCTAGGAGCAAAAGATTTACCTAGAACAATCCTCAGCGATCAAATAGAGCAGCGATTATTTAAGCGACTGAAGCAAGAAAGGCAAGAGAGGGCAAAGATTCAAGGGAAAACTTACGATGAGGTGATTCATTTGACTTGTCGATGTTTTATAGTATCATTGTTGATTTTTGAATTATAGTCAGATATAATTATATTTGCTGAAGGCTGTGCATTTCATGCACTTCTATGCATTACTTTTGACTTTCTGAATGTGTTAACTAATATTCACCAGATGCTTAGTGGGTAGAATGGTGTTAAATGGATGCTTTTAAACAGTTGCAGATGTTGTCAGTTTAGTTTTAAAAATGGAACAAAGCTTGTCTCTGCCTAAGCTTTTGAGACAAAAAGAGCTTTAGGTAAGTAGACGCACTGAAGTTTTCAGCTCAGCAATTTGAGTTTCCATTTAGAACATTGCAGGCATTCTTAAGTAAGATGATGTGAACCATTGAAATTTCAAGGACTGCACTGAATTTTTCATTTTTTGGTTTTTTTTTTTTTTTTGGGGGGGGGGTAGGTATTCAAACTGGGAGTCCATCCGCTTAGTGTTCATATGGATTCCAATCTCTCTCTACTGTGCATCTCGGACTGTCAATCTGTCTAAGTGTTTGTGGCTAACTTTTATTGTTTCTACTGTCAGGTTCCCGGAGCTGAAGCACTTGTAGTGCGAGTTGTGTCATCAGTGGACAAAAAATTGGAAGTGAAGCAGCGATTCCTTGAGATTTTTCAAGAAGAGAATTATCCTACTGAATTCCCTTATAAATCCAAGGTATCAGTATATAAATTGCATTATATGTTTGATGTAATCTGTCTGTGTACAGACTTGGAATGCTTTTTTTTTTTTTGTCCCTTTGAGCCTTTGAGGAGTTGGCTATTGTGTTTTAAATGTGATGAGTCCATAAAAAAATAGTTGTAAACTCTGGACTAAGATCGTTTCTTCTAGGTAGTATTGTTGTTCCAGAAAATCGAAGGTGTAGAAGTGTGCCTGTTTGGCATGTATGTTCAAGAATTCGGATCAGAATGTCAGCAGCCAAATCATCGTCGTGTTTATCTTTCATATCTCGATTCTGTTAAGTATTTCCGGCCAGAGGTTAAAGCAGTGACAGGGGAGGCTCTCCGTACATTTGTTTACCATGAAATTCTGGCAAGTTTCTGCCACAGAATTTTTTAACTGCTTCTGCTCCTGCTGCTACTAATATTGTTTTATTTATTTTTTGACATTGAAATATTTCTTATTCCAGATCGGATACCTAGAATATTGCAAAAAACGAGGTTTTACAAGCTGCTACATATGGGCCTGCCCTCCACTGAAGGGTGAAGATTATATTTTATACTGCCATCCAGAAATTCAGAAAACACCAAAGTCTGATAAACTCAGAGAGTGGTGAGTGTAATTACTCTCATCTATAAATTTTTTCTACTGTTGAAAGTACTATGAGCCAAGTTCTGATTATCTATCTCACATGTTGGATATGGATGAATGTCTCTCTATTTCAGGTATTTGGCAATGCTAAGAAAAGCCGCAAAGGAAAAGATTGTAGTTGGCCTCACTAATTTATACGACCATTTCTTTGTGTCTACTGGTGAATGTAAGGCAAAGGTTACTGCAGCTCGACTACCGTATTTTGATGGAGACTATTGGCCTGGTGCTGCGGAGGATATGATCTATCAGCTTCAGCAAGAAGAGGATGGCAGAAAACAGCATAAAAAGGGAACCACCAAAAAGATCATAACGAAAAGAGCTTTGAAAGCATCAGGCCAAGTTGATCTTTCTGGCAATGCATCGAAGGATCTGCTACTAATGCATAAAGTAATTGCAGTTTCCATAATCTTTGAGCTTAGTAATTATCCCACAATGAGATGTTTATATGTTGTGAACATATCAATAAAAAAAGAAATCCATTTTCTCTGAGCTTAATACTAATATTTGGTCTGAGAAAAATAATTTGTTCTGACAACGCATCCATTTTCTTCAGCTTGGTGAAACAATTATCCCAATGAAGGAAGATTTTATCATGGTCCATTTGCAGTATTCATGCACTCATTGCTGCATTTTGATGGCAAGTGGAAGGCGTTGGGAATGCAACCTGTGCAAAAATTTTCAGCTCTGTGACAAGTAAGAGTTCCACAACCTGACCTCTGTTCATGAACCAAGCTCTCCCCACAATCTTACATCTATTCACATCATTATTATTCTGATTCTTTCATGTAGATTTTCTTTTGTTTTTTTAAACAACCCTACGACAGAATTAATTGGAAGGCTTGTTTCCCGTCTTCCTCCTTTTTCTCTCCTGTAGCGTTATTGACTTCTAGAAATATGTTGCTTTTACAGTTGTTATGAAGCTGAACAAATACTTGAAGAGAGAGACAGGCATCCTATCAATCAAAGGGACAAGCACACATTTTATCCTGTATGTTTTCTTTTTCCCTGCGAGATTGCTTGATGGTTATTCGTCATACCATGAGCTTTCTTCATTTATTGCTACATGGTTACTTTGTTACACTCACTTGACTGAGGATTGAGATGATTAAACCCTGCAGGTTGAGATCACTGATGTTCCTGCTGATACCAAGGATAGAGATGAGATTCTCGAGAGTGAATTCTTTGATACCAGACAGGCATTTCTGAGTCTTTGTCAAGGAAACCATTACCAATACGATACTCTACGCCGTGCTAAGCATTCCTCAATGATGGTCCTTTATCATCTTCACAATCCCACTGCTCCTGCATTTGTGACAACATGCAATGTATGTCATCTTGATATAGAAGCTGGTCAAGGTTGGCGCTGTGAGATTTGTCCCGAGTATGATGTATGCAATGCCTGTTATCAAAAGGATGGCGGAAATGATCATCCTCATAAGTTGACTAATAACCCGTCCGTGGCTGATCGTGATGCACAGAACAAAGAAGCTAGGCAAGTTCGAGTTGTACAGGTACATTATTCTATACATTTTGGTCCTTGACTAAAAAAATATGTGGTACCTAATACACAAGATTCTTGCCTATAATGGGGTCTCGGACAGGTAAGTTATATGTAGTTTTAACCCCATGTTATTATACCCTAATATCTTTATTGAATTAATTATGTTTGATTCTCTAATACATAATTGTTTTGTAGTTTGAGAAGATTGACATTTTAAAAGTTCAATCTATGGAGGTCATTAAAACTTGGCGTGACATCTAATCAGTTATGATTTGGGGAATATCGTGAAATGGAAGGAGGGTCTATTTTATTCAAAATTAACTGTCATATTTACTTTTTCTAATTTGTAGTAAACAAGTTTCAAAAAATCATCTTTTAACTATTGAAAAATTGTATGCTGCATCTGGCAACATTTTTATTATCAACCTCAGTAGTGGTTATCTCGTTCTCTTCACCTTATTTGGCTCTATTTTCATCAAATTTGCTAGTAATTTTTGGTTAAATGGCATATTGTGAAAATTTTCATCAGTGTGTTTATAAAAGCAATTTTTTAAAGTCGCATATTTTAATCAACTCTGAATGATTTTTTTAATGAGCTTAATTTGATGATAAGTGACTTTGTTCCCTTAAAGGAATCTTATCTATTTGTGAATGGAATGGTATGTATTTTTTGGCTTGGAATGTCAATATATGTCTCAATGGACTCCTTGGATATGGTATTAAAAAAAAGGAGGGGGGGGGGGGAGGGGGAGGGGAGATTGACTTGGGAAATTTATGTTAATCTCGTATAGATGGATAAATCATACAGGACAAAAAAGGTGACAATAATAATATGTCTCAATGGAATGGTATGTATTTTTTGGCTTGGAAGCTCAATATATGTCTCAATGGACTTGTTGGATATGGTATTAAAAAAAAGGGGGTGGGGGGGTTGACCTGGGGAATTTATGTTAATCTCGTATAGATGGATAAATCATAAAGAGCAAAAAAGGTGACAATAATACTATACATTCCAATCAATTGTTTGGTAATACATAGGACTAAAGTCGGATGATAGTTATCTAGTCCAATCCGGTATTTGGTTAGATCATTTATTCCATGGTATTAATGTTGTATGGGCTGAAATGTCCACAATCCTCTCGAATCTTTTTTTTTTTTTAAACTCACACCATTTTATTACAATCCTCTTGAATCTAGTCCCTTGTTTGGTGCACCAATATTTTGTTGACTATTAAAATTTATTGATTTATTCCTAGATCAATTTGTATCTTAATTGGTGATTTACAATAAAAAATTTAGTGTATTTGTCTTTTCATTTGATGTTTTGGAGAAGAAATTTGTATTACATACGCTAGTTTTTATTTTTGGAAATATATAAACTCTTTTGCTGATGTTGTTTATTGTAAGTCATACTAACTGCTGCTAAGCAAAAGGGTGTGTCTGTTATAACTAGAAAATTTCAAGGGGTAGTCTTAAAATCTTACATTTATCTTACGTTTGGCAAATTCTATTCATAATGCGTAGTGAGTTTTGGCATCCGATTGTTGTATGAGCCTGGATTACAGTGCTAGTCCAAGATGCCTCTAAAATCTTGTCCATAATACTGCAATAAACTAGCCAAATATTTATAATTAGTGACCGCCTGCCATATATCCTTAATATTGAACAGTTTGTATGTTATTCTGTAGTTCTGAATGTAAAAATCCTTTGATATACAAAAATTTCTCCGGAGTTATTGGTAGTACAAGAGAGTTTTTTGCAAAAATTTCTCAACTAAGTTAACAGACTTCGTAAGTATCCTAAAGGTTTTTCCACACAAAATTATTAGTTATTTGAGATCATTGACTTACTGAACACTAATGGTTTTCATTCTATACTGATCTAGTGAAATTGTTGCTGCTTCTGTTTTATTTGGTTTGGCTGCCGGAGTGTATCCTGTTTAATTGGGAATGCCCACGAATGACTTTTTGATATTGCTTCCTTTGTATCTTTTTATAGCTCGTCAGAATAAGCATAATATAGGAGTCATTGCTATTTACTGCAGTCCATTCATTGTATAGCTGAAAAATAAATAACAAGAAAATTTGATGGTCTAAGGGTGGTCTTCAAGAAAAAAAACTTGAAGCATTCCCACGATCATAATTAGGAGTCAAGCCTTTTTTGTTTCCACGAAAGCTTGTAATTAAGGATCTACTTTCACAGTATGTTCTCTGTTGTTTTATTCCTGATAGGTATTCTCTCAATAGCTCGTCATTTGCTTCTATTCCTAACATTTCAAACTATTTGTATAAAAACATAGACAATCGCAAGCTTAGGTACAAAAATAATGTCATTTTTGACATGATTGGCTATAATGATGTTGCAGCTGAGGAAAATGCTCGACCTCCTGGTGCATGCTTCTCAGTGTCGTTCTCCTCAATGCCAATATCCAAATTGTCGCAAGGTAAAGGGGCTTTTCCGGCATGGGATACAATGCAGAACACGTGCCTCTGGAGGGTGTGTTCTTTGTAAGAAAATGTGGTATCTCCTTCAACTTCATGCTCGAGCATGCAAAGAATCTGAATGCCATGTACCACGTTGCAGGTTTGTACATCAATTTCTATCTCATCCTCAAGAACTCTCTCTAAATTTTAGTTGTTAAAATGGTGTCATCTTATTTGATTCAGAGATTTGAAAGAACACTTGAGGAGGCTTCAACAACAGTCTGACTCCCGCCGAAGAGCTGCCGTAATGGAAATGATGAGGCAACGAGCTGCGGAGGTCGCTAGTAATGCAGGATGACCATGTTGTACATATACGAATGGACGTTGTGGATAAGTTTCCCGCGTGATCGAGGAGAGGGGTAAATTATCGTTTGAAACACTCTGTTAATAGACTGAAACTGGGCATGAACTGCAGAAGTGGATTTGCATTGTTCTGAGACAGCCAAAGAGATCGCAGGATGATGGTGGGTTGTGATTATCACTTTCCAGCAAAGAATTTCTTCAACAACTAAGCTCCATTACTGAAGTTTATTTGGTAGTGGTGACCTCGTCTCGTCGAACAAGAGCTGACCACCTTCTTCGAACTGAAGGAAAAGGGTACACAGAAAGAGTTGTTTCTCTTTCTGAAGTCCTCCTATTCAGTGATTCTTTGATTTTATTCTCTTGTATTCCTTCCAGGGCCATCGTTGGATGGCCAGTGTACCATAATCTGTCGAAAATGTCCTCTTACGAAGTAATTCGGGTGGGAGATCATCTCAAAGTCGTTTTTTTGGCTTTGTTCTTTTCTATTCCTCGATTGTGTTCCCCCTCCCTCCCTTATGTGTTAATCAATCCCTTTTGTAGTTTGTACTTCTAATCTTTGAGGAGATAGAATAAGTAGCCATTACAAGAACTGTAACAACAACAACTTTGTTTTAATTTGTACTGTAATGCTAAATTTATGTTTTATTCATCGTCTTGTCTTCCGCTCATGTTGCAAACTTAAAAATCAATTGGCTCTACAAATGAAGAGGAACCAATTATCAAATCATGACCAAATTGTCCAAATTAGATTGTCAATGAATTTAGGAGTCGTCTACGAAGCATTTCTATCTATTCCCCATGAAGACTTTATTTTGTTTTGGGGGAAAGTAATAGATAGTTGTCAAATATTATCTTGGGAAAATAACCAATAAATCCATATTTTTGGTGTCAGGCGTTTTATGTCCAATCATTTTGGATAACGTTTTCTCTTATCATTTCTCTCTCTTTTGCCCATTTGGTTTTGATTGCGAAACTGCAATCGAATGAAAAATCATAAAACACAATAATAAATAATAAATGGGTAAATTGGAAAACAATATAAATAAACAGCTCTCATATAAATCACTAACATGGGTTCACACAAAAAAAATTGTTGGAGAATTATTATAATTATTTAAAATGTAGTCTATTTAATTAGTAGGATGATTAACAAAAAAATTAATTCTTTTTTGTAGCTGCCTGAATTAAAGCATATACCGGAGTGAACCCTTCAAATCATCAGGTGACCAAGTATGCGATCCTATTTCCTAACCGACTAAATTTATACTGCTTTAAAAACTTACACTTTTGTTCATAATTTCTTTCAAAGATTAAAAGTAATGTCTCCCCCTATAATGTGATTGAAGGATTAACATAAAGATGTGATTGGTGAAGTATTGAACTATTTGAAACAAGTTATAGAAAATAGGACTTGTTTGATATTTATATATATCCTGTTACGAACAACCATGTACATTGATTTGGGATGGAAAATTGAAAGAAAAAGGAAACTATTCTTGGGAAGTACGGCAATGTTGGGATCCATTGTCCTAAACAATATCCCATGTTTGGATGAGGTTATTATATGATATTATGTTGAAAGAGACTACGATATTATGTTGAAAGAGACTACGACATCTTACATCAAAGCATGACTTTTGTTTACACCATCTATAATGACCTTTGTTTACACCAAATATATGGTTTTAGATGACACTTTAGTACTGAAATGGTACTGTTAAACTTATATAAAGACTACACCCTATAACTTGATCCACAACTTGCATCAAGTGAACATGGGACTAATTTAGTCCAATCCAATTCCTAATATCCAAACCAAACACACCCTAAAGAGTACCAGCTTTATCCAAGAGCAACAATAGAGGCTTCCTCAGTTCAGTCCTTTGCTGTGCAACTACCATCAACAACAATAATATCAACATAATAAAGCAACAGTAAACAGAACCGCAGAGTGAGAAACTGTTTCACCAACCATTCGTCAATCACAAGCTAAGTAGAGTACAAATCCCACAAAAAGAACCAAACAAACTGACAAGGGTTTATTTAACCTGATAACAGTATTTTATCATAATACAAAAATTGTTGCACCTCCCGTTCATGAACCACATGTACGCAGTGCACAAAACAAAACACACAAAATAACAAGTAAAGTGATTATTGTTAAATTCAGCCCGATGACAAAAGTGAGTCATAATATCATCACTTTCCAGAATTAAGTTTCGTTTTCAAAAATAATATTGCCCAATCTAATTGTCAGCAATCTCAATTAGGGTTGGCTCGTAATCATCGGGAGCCTGAAATCCGTGCAGATTAATGACAGTTGCAGCCACGTTGGCAAGCCCACCATCAGGAACATCTGTGCGGAATCTCACACCAGGTGCCAGCCCAGGACCACCAATTGCAATAGGCACCTACACCCAAATCAAAGAAGCATAACCTCGGTTCAGAATTTCAATATAGCTATCAACAACTTGGACAGTTACAGATCAAGACAGGTCCTATATTCCAGAACATACAATCACTGGTTGCTTTTTTTTTTTTTTTTTGGGGGGGGGGGGGGGGGGAAGAGGTCCCCAAACTTACTGGTTGCAAAGTGTGAGAAGTAAGTATTTGAATTTTGCCATTCTTGTCAAGAAGAGGCTCCCCCTTCTTGTTCCTCTTCACCATGTCCTCGGCATTTCCATGATCTGCAGTCACAACATATATTCCACCCACTTGCTCTATTGCATCAAGGATCATCTGCAGAATTTGATAAAGTCAGCAGCATTTAAAATTGTCTTTCGTGTGTGGGGTGGGGTGGGGGGGAGGGGAGTGAATATGTCTTGCAAAAAATTTCTCCCATTGTCCTACCAGTGAATTTCTACACCTCATAATTTGATCTTAGAAATTCTCAAGGTATTTAAGATTGATCTGTTGTGGTGCCCATGTAGAAATCTGTTTCTGCCAAAGCCCTAGTCGACTAGGCAATGACCTGGTCAACTTGTTAGTCGACTGCTAGTCAACCAACCAACTGAATTCAAAGTAGCATCACTGATGATATATCCTCATAAATCAGAACTACTAGTTCTACATGTGCATATGCATGGTAGTAAAGTATCTCGTGTGTTTTGATCATCAATTAACACATCAAGCTGTATCGAATATCAAGACAAATACACAATGCAGTTTATCATAGCATAAATAATTCTTGGAATTGGGACACCACTCATCTCATGCATAATTGAAGATAAAGCGATTAGAGACAATTAGCACCCAAAGATATATAGTGATTCTGTCATCTTGAACTACATCCACTCTTGCATCCCTCCATTGGGATTCAACCACACCAAATGAAAAGTTTTCTAACGTCACCCTAAACCTTTAAAATGGAAGTATAACTAGATGATCGTACTACTAGGATATTATGTAGGTGCTATACTTAGGCTAACCTACAACAATGATCAATCCCCATTAGGTTTAGATTTTGATCTTTCTTCCCCTTCCCACTTCTTTCTCATAAAAAAATCTCTCACCTTCTTCTCCAAAATCTTTGCCACCTTCCTAGACAATTTAAAAGGACTCATAAAATAAGTAGGAATACTACCCAAAACTCCTTAAATCAAAGTAAGCCTCCCTCCCCTTGACAAACATCCCTTCTCCCAACCATCCAACCTTTTTTTGCACCCTCTCCACTGGATTACAATAATTTAAGGATAAAGGATTACCTCCCAGCGGAAGTCCTAGATATTTTAATGGCAACTCACACAACTCACATCCCAACCCTCTTGCCAAACCTTCAACTTTACTTCTAGACACACTAGTAGCAACAATAGACTCTTACACATATTCACTTTCAATCCCAAAACCAAACCAAAAGTCCTCACAATGTCAACCAAATTAAGAAATTTTTGTTCATCCCCTAATAAGAAAAAAATGGAATCAGCAGCAAATTGAAGATTAGACATAGTAATTCCATCATTCCCTACTAAGAAACCTTTCACTAAATCCTACTCCATTCCACAACCAAAATGAAAAGAAAAAGTGACAGCAGATCACCTTGCCTCAACCCACTAGAAGAACCAAATCTTCCCCTTGGTTTACCATTAACAACCACTGAAAAGTTCATAGAAGATAAACATTCCCTGATCCATCTACTACTAGAACCCTTAGCTTTAAGGACAAAATCTAAAAATCCCCAATCCACGTGATCAAATATCTATTCTGGTTGAGTATTTTAGAAGTGGCAATGCTAAGTCTGTCCAAGTATCCATTCACCAAAAAAGTAGCACAAAGTTCTTATGTTATCCCACCAAACTTTATCAAACCACCTTAAAATGCCTTGCAAGGCATTCCTCATTCAAACTTTGATTTCTAATGTACCCTTATTATTATGTGACAGCTCACCAAATCCAACTAGTTATAACTCTAATGCGCAAATTAGAATTCTTATGCTAAACCAAATCATTTCAAACTATACAATGGCGAGAAATGACTGTCATTCAAAAGTCAAAAACAACAGAACACAACTTTTGCACCATCTTACCTTGACAGCTTCATCAGCAGCCTTGCAAGCCACGACTGTGGCTTCAATGTCACCTGTATGCCCGACCATGTCACTATTTGGCAGGTTAACACGTACCTAAAGAAAGCAGGAAATATCATGAGAGGTATATATTTGTCTAGTTTGGATTATCTTTCCTCAGATAGCAATTGTAACACAATAATTCTAGCTAATACCTGGTGGAATTTGCGACTAAGAATGGCATCCCTAGCTTTCTCAGCAATCTCTAATGCCTTCATCTTTGGTTGGACGTTAAAAGTTATCCCACTATCACTTGGAATTTCAACATATTCTTCCATTTCTGGGTTAAAACACCCTGAGCGATTCCCATTCCAGAAAAAGGTCACATGACCGAATTTGACAGTCTCACTGTTGAAAAACAAGAATAACAGTAATGTTTCACCATCCTGATTTTATAATGATATGCTTAACTAGATAGAGTATATATTCAACAAGTAAAACTCCATGTTTATATCAAATTATTAATTTAGATCGGTGATTTGCTACTCACCTGCAAGCGAAAGTATGTACACCATTATGCACCAAATATTCACCAGATGTTCTCTCAATCTCTGGAGGAGAAACAAGGTACTGACTTGGAAGCTTCAATTCACCATCATATTGGAGCATCCCAGCATAACGGATTTTAGGAAATCGAACTCTATCAAATTTATCAAAGTTTTCATATTCAAGAGCCTTTGCAATCATAACCATACGATCTGCTCGAAAGTTGAAAGTCACAACAGCATCACCATCTACAATAGGCCCAACAGCCTTTCCATTCTCATCAACAATAACAAATGGAGGTAAGTATTGATCACTGGCTTTGGGCTCCGCTCTCAGCTTCTTGACAGCTTCAACAGCACTCATAAATTTGTACGGGGCTTCGCCAAGAACCTGGGCATCCCATCCACGTTTCACAACATCCCAATCATTCTGCAAAATACCCAGCAATAATGTTTTACTTTATATTCTAGACAAGTAAACAAGAAACTATAAATATGTTTTATATACACACATGAAAATTAATCAGGGAAAACAGACCATGACTGAAAATACTTGGCCATGCAATGGATACATTTTAAATCCAACACTCTAAGCAAAGCACTGATGTTCCCCAACAATCAGAATCAAGCCCAACTGTGCATCAAAATCAATCCAAGCATTTCTATGCAAGGAAATAAAAATAATGAAGTGCAATACACTAGCTAAATAACACATCACTAATCTGAGCTACATTGTAGTGGCAACGTTGACTTGGTAAGTAAAGATTCGCAACAGTTTATTACTTTACCTTATGGAAAGAAGGATAGGGGTCATAAAGACACAAAAGTCAAATGATAGCTTTCAATTAGACAAAACACATATGCTAACTTTTAATAGGAGAAAATAAACCGGCACGTAGTGAGTGAGAATCTCCAACTAACTAGTCCACCATGATCTTCAACAATAAAAATAAATCCACTCAATGAGACTATACATTCTTTGGCATCAATCATTTTGTGTCAAAGAATTAAATATTGATACATTGGACCCGATGCATTGCCCAACATGCTGTCCTAAAAGTATTAAATATAATATATTCATTATTCTCTCAAAAATAAATAATCAAGTAATTTATCATCACAGGTATACCTCATAACGATCCATCGTAACATACATACGGCCCCCTCCAGATGCAACCTGGGCATCAATACCTTTCGCACGTAATTCTGAAAGATCATTCTCAAGGGTTTCCACAAACCCTACACTTGAGCCATCCAAAACATCACGACCATCAGTAAGAATATGAACACGGATTCGTTTGGCACCACGCTCACTGGCGCCTTTTAGCAACAACTGCACCCAAGAAAAGAACACCAATTTCAAAAAGGGACACAGTGACAAATAGTAGAAAAATAATTGAGGACTAAACCAGGATCAGATGGCCAAGGAAAATATAACACTCCCCCAAAACAAACACACCTGCAACTGATCAATCCGAGAGTGGACACCCCCATCACTCAATAACCCGATGAGGTGCAATGTGCCAGTTTCAAAAGATTCCTTAATGTATTTAAAACCTTTGTCATCATAGATTTTTCCAGAGGCAAGGGCTAAGTCAACAAGCTTTGCACTGAAAGAAAGAAAGGAATATACATCTTGAAGTCACTAACTCTTGATGCAAAAAGAAAAAAATGAAATCACCCGTGAAAGTACTGACATTTCCGAGATGCTAGGAACTATTTAAATAGACATATAGAAAGCGTAGAACCCTGGAATAGACACATCTTGAAGTCACTAATTTCTACCTCTACTCAATAAAGATATTACTGCTCAGTTTATATGACAAACATCATAGTATTAAAGATAAAGCTGACAACAAGACCATCAGAAATGCGCCAAAAGGAGAGTACCATTCCACATATGCAAAAGTTTTGATTAAACTTCAATATTCATCACTGCTTTTCGCAAGACTGGAATAGTAGCCATAAATTTACCCATTCATAATGACAGATCATCCGCCCAAATGGATTGTCAAAATTAAATCCAAATGGTTTTTGAATATTTCTTAGAAACTCTTGAGGGTCATAAAAGAACATAAGCTGGGAGTAAAAAAGGTCACCCTTGAGCATAAATCCGGCCTGCACCAAGCGCGTTGTGACCAACTTCACTGTTGCCCATGTCGTCCTCTGTAGGAAGCCCCACAGCAGTCCCATGTGCCCTCACCAACCTCCACTTCTCAGGTGCACCCTATCAATCAAGAAACATACAATACCAGAAAAAAATCAATCATCTATTTCATCAGCATATAAAACAAAAAAGGATGGTCCAGTGCAACGAGGATCCCGGCCCCCAGACCATACCTCCGCATGCGGGCAACTAGAACCTTTGACTATCAACCGGGTTCGAATCCGAGGACATATATGTACAAACGATGCCAAACCTTAGGCCTCTACCCAGTCCCACCCCTCCAGGGAACCAAAGACTGGGCAACGACCATTTGATCCAGGTGTGTGTGTATATATATATAATACACACACTCATATATATATGCACACACACATATATAGAGAGAGAGGGGGGGGAAAGAGAGAAATGTAACCATACATTTTTCAGGGAATCCATGGTGGGAGTATCGGCAACATGGATGCAGTTGTACTGATTGGGATTGGCTTCACCCCATCCATCCAAAACCACCATCGCCACAACCTTACCCTTGGGAAGCTTCGGGTGATCCTCCAACTTCCATGAAAATCCTGAGCTACCCATCTGTAGGAACTGTATGTCTATATCTTTCTGGGTCAAACAAGAGCCTTCACAAAACTGAATCGCACATCAAAAAAAAAAAAAAAGCAAATCAAGAAACCAAATAATCAAAACCAGATCTAAAGCAATTTCACATATATGTAGAGAGAAATAGAGGAGGGAGAGAGAGAGAGAGACCTTAGTAGGTGTCTCCGCTCTGTGGATCCAAATAAGTGCTGAGAAGAGAGAAAGGCAAAACAACCTTAGAAAGTAGAAACCTACGGAGATCCTTTTATATGTGCCAAAGGAAGAGTAGCACGTGCATCTGCACGTGATCCCTCACCGAATATTCACGGCTCCTAAACCTAACACAGGATCACGGTTCTCACCGACGACTCTCATCCTCTTCTATTTTTCAGCATATTTAAATGAGTTAATCTCTGCTGTCTATTTTTATTTTAAAGTTAATCTAATGATTAATATTAATAGCTTAAATTTAATAAAAAAAATAAAGCCTTAAAGATGTATTTGAAGTGACTTTTTAAAAGTATTTTTAAAATTTTTTTCTCATAAATACTAAAAAAAAATAGTGTTTGAAATCGCGTCACAATTATCTTTACCATTGTCGTCGTCGTCGTCACCACCGCCACCATTACCTCACCCCCACTACAATCGACGCTTAAATTCATTTATCTTTCTTTTATGTTTGTAATTTAATTTTGAATATGAATACAAATATGTTCATTAATACCATTTTTTATTACTCTGTACCTTCATGACAAAAACTAGTATATATATAAAACAACTCACAATTTAAATCTCAAAAGATAAACAAAATGATTTTTGCTTTTCATGGTTCAGATCTCTTTAAATTTTACTTTATAGTTAATATAACGGTTAATATTAACACCTTAAATTTAATAGAAAAAATAGGCTTTTAAGGGTGTGTTTGGAGTGACTTTTTAAAAATATTTCTATAAATTATTTCTCATAAGTACTTTAAAAAAAATAGTGTTTGAAATCATCCCAGCACTACTTCTACCACCGTCGTCGCCACCACTGCCACAATTACCACCACGGCCACCGCTGCCCCCTCCACCACCATCGCCATCGCTGCCGTCGTCACCCACCATAACTATCACCGTCTCCTACCACCACCACTATCGCCCACCACCTCTCACCTCCACTATAAAATCGATGTTTAAATTTTTTTTATCTCTTCTCTATGTTTGTGATTTAATTTTACATATGAATAAAAATATGTTTATTTTTTATCATTTTTTATTTCTCTGTGTCTGTAGGCACAAGTAATAACTAGTATATATATATATATATATATATATATATATATATATATATATATATATAATAACAATTAAAAATATTATTTAAACATAATTTATTAACTTAGTACATTGTAATCATTAAATTAATCATGAATCCTAATTATATATTAGGATTTATTGTCAATTAAAATGTTATAAATAATTATGAATAAAAACTATACACGTAACTTGTGTGTTTAGTGGATGAAAATTGGGAATGGGAGTCTGGGCCCTGCCCGTGGTAGTGGAAGATGCTGTGGGCGAAAATTAGTCAACCCAACCAATATATTGTGTTTTCTTTTATTTTTTGGGTTGATATTTAAATATTTATTTTTTTTCAATTAAGCATGCTTGATGATTCATTCATGACCTGGAATTTAAAACATTATGATATTTAGATCAACCTAGCGAAGGCTGATGATTGAAGGCTTAAACACACAGAAGAATAGACTCTGTTGCTGACTACTGAGGATTAAGTACATAATTTGAAATAAAATTACTAAATTACGATATTTTTAAATTTTTTTATTAAATTATGATATTTTTTTTTAAAAAAAGCGGAGTCATGTTATGTTTAAATTGCAGACTTCAAATAGTTACCCTACTATGAAATTGTGTCTGATTATAAGAAGTGTCCAATTTGAACTTAAAATAACAACCTCACAGCAGGGTCAATACCCTTTTTTTTTTTAAATGTCGTAATTTGATAATTTTGTTTCAAAAGTATCATAGATCGATACTTAATTAATTGATATTATGAATAGAACACTCAAGAAATTGAGGGTAATATCCCCCCCCCCCAAAAAAAAAAAAGAAGAAGAAATTTTGGGAAAACCATCAATTTTAGAATTGAAGTGGAAACCTATTGAAATTAGTAAAATCTAAACTTGAAATAGAAAAGAATTGGGAAGAGCTAATCGATTGGTCTTGACTATATCTAAGGGTGCAACCTGAGCGGGCTAATCCAATTTTAACTCGAGTCTAATCCAAAAAAATTAGAGTTTGGACTAAGATTTTTAATACTTGGATTGAATTTAGGTCAAGAAATCTCAACCCAAATTCAATTTGGACGAGCTTTGGGTTGAGTCATCGAGTTTACGGGTTGAACCCGAATATTAAAATCGGGCTCAACTCGAATTAATACTATATAAATACAATTTTATCTTAGGGTTAATCTTAACTCAAGTATGTGCCTCCCATAGACCCTCACTCACTCTCAGTCTCTCTCGGTTTCTCACTCTCACTCTCAGACCTATCTCTCACTCTCAGATCTGAGGCGTCCAAACTTCCAAATAATAGTTGTGATGACTTTTTGAGCCGTCAAGAATCAAGAAATTTGAGTTCTGGGATCACATTTGTAGGGTCTCTCGATTACTGAAACAATTTAACCAGTTAAGCTACTTTTATCTCTATTTAAAAAAATGAAACTGAAGTTGTTGTCATAAAGAAACAACCATGAAGCACATGAGAATCATGTTCAGGATTTTCATTGTAGTAGTAAATTGTGTTCATAATTAAAGATTTATTTCATATGTTGTTTATGTGCAACCATTGTTTTATTGCTGTTTGGAAGCGAAGTTGTTGACTTATGAGAAAGTCAAGTTCTTTTGATTGAAGTAACTCGAAATCAGTCTGAAATCATTAATCCGAATTCAATTCGAGCTCATCCGAATTAAACTCGGACAGTGTTCGAGTTAAGTTTCTCAACCTGAGATAGGGTTAGGATTGAAAATTATATATTTAGGGTTAAGTTAAGATTGACTATCCAACCTGCCCGAGTTGCACCCCAAACTATACCTAGTCGATTAGGTCAGTCAGATGTGTTACTCTCGATTGGTCTTAAACAAATAGATCTTGGAGAATTTAAATCAAAATTATTCCCAATAATGAGTGTTTTACTCTTTTAATGGGTACTATACCTTTAAATTTTATTATTTTAATAGACATTTTTATAATTTTTGTGAATGATTTAACGACAACAAAAATTTATAATTTTTTATAGATGATTTATCACTTTTGCAAAAAGTCGATCATAATTACCACAAAAGTGGTAATGGATAGTTATCATAAGCTTGTCCCAACAATTTATTTGTTTTTTGGGTTCAATTGTCAAGGTTTTGTGGTAAATGATAGTTATCATAAACTTGTCCCAACAATTTTTTTTTTTATTCAATTGTCAAGAGTGTCTTAAGTTAATTTACGCGTACTTCGATTAGTCATCTCTTGGTTTGGTTAAAGATAAGTCATTCACGCCAAAACTAGGGTATTAATGAGGAATAAAATCTTTCATAATCTGATCCCAAAAAATTACAAAAACTCAAACTTAGGACATTTGGATTTACAACTCGTCTTTATTACCACTTGAATTGCCACTTGTCCCAACATTTGACTAGGAATGACAGCAGATCGAGACGGGTCAAGGGGAGTAGTCTCCACATCCTTTTATTCGCTTAAAAAATATTTGTCCACCCCCCGATCCATTCTCGTTATTAGCATGAGAAACTTTAATCCATGTTCCCGTCCCCATTCTCATCCTGTGGGTAAATTTTGATTCTCATACTCATCCTAACGAATAATTTCTATGATTATATGAAAAAAATATTAAAAAAATCTATAAAACTTCACAAATGGATGAAAACATAAAAACTCATCAAAATAAAATAAAACATAAAAAAAACAGAAGAGAAAAAATAAAATAATTTTTTTTTTTAGTAAAGATAGGGTAGGGTTTGCGATATTATATATATGTATTAATAAGTGGGTAAAGTTTGTATCTTTGGGGTTTGTGATATTATATATATATCATGAGTTTTGCGGGGCGGAGAAGGGATGAGTTTCATTCTATTCCCACACGGATTTATGCGAATATTTCTATATACGTCTATTGTTCAATACATATAATTCATTCCGATCCAAACAAAACAAATTTTGACAAATACTCATTTTTTTCACAATTCATTCTCATCCTTGCATTCGACTCAATGTCACATGGTCTCACGCTACAGACTTACTGAGAAGTCACAACATTATCCTCTCGAGGACAACCACAACCAGGGTGCTTATCTATTCCCCCAGTCAATACATTAATCAAATCCAAAAAACAAACAACTCAAAGCCTCTGTGTGTGTGTGTGTCTGTGTCTGTGTGAGAGAGAGAGAGAGAGAGAGAGAGAGAGAGAGAGAGATGGAGGGAATGCAGCAGTTAGCCCTTCCCATAGTGGGAATTGTAGCAGTTGCAGCTGTTACTTTCTATGCTGTTAGCTTTGCCGAGCTCAGAGAGGTACCAATTCTCTCTCTCTCTCATATGCACATACTTTTCTTTATGGTGTTACAACTGATTTCTTTTTTGAATTTGCAGAAATCTTTCAGAGACTTAGATGAGTCGGAAGAGTCAGAAAACATGGGATTTAAATCATCTTTAAGCTCCAGAGAAAGGCGAGCAAGAAGAAAGGCTGAGAAAGAAGCCAAATCTTGAATTCATCTTTCTTTCTCACAGATATGTGTGAAAGGATTTTCCATCTTATCTCTCTCTCTCTCTCTCATGGATTTCAGATTTCAGATTGAGTTACCCTTTTTCATTGTGTTTCTATTACACATTGTATGATTGAAGGTACTGAAAGAATCTGAATTTTATACTATCTTCTAGTAATTTTCTTAAATTTATCTGTTCTAAATTTTCGCCAGATTCATACTTCTCTAAACAAAAACAAGACTTAATCTAAACAAGCATTTTTCAATATAAAAAAACGTGTTTATAGAATAGGTTTTCTAGGGTTTTTTACATTGACAAATAAGGGCACAAGTCACACTTTCAAATAAAGAATAATAAATGAAAAAGATAATTATCGTTGACACCCCTCTAAATAAATATATCATTAATGAGACTCTCTCTACTATCTTAAACATCACTGACACTCCTTGTTAGATTAAGGTCGGATTCCTCTACGGTTGGCTTCTAACCTCACGGTGTGAACCTCATGGTATGCGGTTAATGAAACGTTGCCGTTTTACTACTTTTTTTTTTTTTTGAAATTTTTGGATTGGATGTACGAACAGCGTCGTTTAGCGTCGAATAAAACTTTTAACAATTTCAATTCTTTAAATCATCTAATGTTAAAATGATCAAATAAACTCATAAGGAGTCTTACGAATAGAACTTAACCGAGTCATATCTAACTTAACACCATTCATTATGAGATTATATGGTCTATTCAAACCACGAGTCCCACTTGTCTCATGATTATTTGGAGCCCTCTTAGTCTGACTCATCGTTTGAAAACCACACTGCACTTCAATTTCAATCTCTCGTCATGCCCAAAATTTTTCTTCTACTGGCATTTCATTCATATATTCACAATGCCATGAATGATATATCTCACCGTCTTTCAATTTGAATGATCAATCTCACGACGTTGAACCATGCGTGCTTTTGCATAAACTAACGGCCCTAAATACCCCCACCATATCATTTACTCAAAATCTTGAAAGAAAAATGTAGAGCAGGAAATGGATTAAAGGGTCTACCATACATAAAACTTATTGATATGTCATGACATGCCTCTTTCACAACTAAAAGTCTCCTTTACATATGCCATTCATATTTTTCACCATCATCATCCACATTTATCAACAATTACTTGTGCTGAGACTTGAGTTCTTTCACCCTTTCTTCAGTAGCCTTCAATGCTTTTCCATAGATGCTTATTAGCTGAAATACAAACATAAATAACAGCTTTAATCAACTTTACAAAATCAGATTTTCACTCTAGCAGTCTTTATGGCCATCGTTTCGTGTGTGAAAACAATGGTAAATTCAGCTTGAGCTCGACAAAAGTGAAATTTGCTTGGCTGAGAAACATACTTCTAAATTCATTATTATGATTCTAGTGATTACCATTGTAACATGGAGATGACATCTTAGTCTTTATAGAAAGATAAAAAAGAACCAATTGTTCACTCTATGTCACTGCACCCTTGTATATATCTGTAATTGTATGAATCCCTAAAGGTTCTAACTTAAAATCATATAAACTTTACTTTTTCTCCATACCTCTTCGTTTATTCGAAGTATGCAGCTTCTATTATTGACTTCCTAGGCATAAATCCATGTACTCAATAATATTGTTGTTTCAAGTCTTATTCTCTCTTCCAAAGTTCATTGTATTACTTTAATGATTAACTTCTAATAATACATTAGAACATCATATTTCACAGCATACTAATATCACATCTAAATTTCATGTTGCTTCTTATGACATTTTATCCTCAAATAATATAATTTTCATCTTTCAAGTTCCACCACCTTGTCAGCAAACCTCTTTACGGATTGACAATATACACCAAAACAGAATAAATTCTTCTTCTTGACAGAAAATTACCTTATCAACTTCGTCAGGGGTCATTATAAAAGGAGGAGACATCATTATATTATCTCCGGCAACACGTACTAACATCCCATTCTTCTCACATTCTGCTCCAAAATATGCACCTATACCTGAGGAGACGATCAACAACTTTTGTCAGGAATAAACGACAAAACACTCGCACGATGAATAATTCTTCTTATAACTGACTCATAATACTTAAAATTAAAAAGGAAATATTCCTTCCCCCAAAACCAAAAAAGGGAAAAAAAAATGTGTTGGGGGTTGTTGGGAAGAAATAAAGAGGAATGAACATACCCCATTCAGTCGGGAACAAGTCATTAGGCGACTTGTTATCCGTAAATTCTGTCCCAAGAATCAAACCTGTTCCTCTTATCTGCAGAATTAAAAGAGTTAATAAACTATGAATTATGGGAGGAGTGCATACTCTTCTTTATTGAGATCAAACAAAACTGAGTTAATAAAAATACCTCCCCAATGATGGGACTGTCAGAATAGGCTTTTATGCCATTTTGAAACCTCGGGGATATGCTTTTCACTTGCTCGACAATATTACTCTCCCTGTAAACAGTCAAACCATTTATATTCTTTCAACAACTAAATTTTACATGGCAACTTCATGTTATAGTACATTTCTCCTAAATCTCGGATCATCAGGCACAGTATGGAAACACATGAGACATGAAGATGATGAATCAAGACCACTACCGCAGAGAAACTTAATGGGTTGATTTTGACCCATCCATTTCATGTATTTTTCTGCAGTTTCACTTTTTTGAGTGAGAGAGAGTTCATATTTTCCATATAAACATTTAATGCAATTCATTTTGTAATTGGTCAGTCACATGACATATTGACTCGATATGTATAAAAAAGCACTATTGATCAACATCTTTCTGGAAAATACAAAGTGAGGAACATACTTGTAGATCTTGAGTGTCTCCAATGCAACAGCACACGATACAGGGTGCCCAGAATAAGTAAATCCGTGAGAGAAAGACCCTAATGAAAAATGAATTCAGGGGCCTACTACAAAAATTGAGTCTCCCAATTAAACTGTTTATAAGATTTCAGATCATACCAAGTTTGTTGCTTTGGGAATAAATGACATCTGAGACTTCAGGACTCACGAGAACAGCTCCAATGGGCATGTATCCAGATGATAGAGCCTGAAAAGCACAATTTTTTAATAACAGAGACGGTAAATATCCTGTTCATAGCAGGCTATGCAATCCTTAATGATCTGATCCAACCTTTGCTATCGAGACAAGATCTGGTTTGATGTTGTACTTATCACAGCCAAACAGTGTTCCAAGCCTCCCAAATGCACAGATCACCTAAGACGTATGAAAGCAAATGTGAGAGTCAGCACTCAGCTATGGATCGCATAGTAATGAGCCAATTGTGAAGTATTGAACAGAAAGAACCATTAGGATACCTCGTCGGCAATAAAAAGAATGTCATATTTTCTCACTATAGCTTGTATCTGCATATGTTATGTATGGAAAGAAATTATAGTCAGAGTGCAAAGACACAGGACAAGAAAGCAAATAACAGATGACCCTGAATCTCTCTCATATGAAGGGATCTGAGTCATGGCATCTGTTCTATATTGCAACCAACCTATCACTAGGCCAATGCACCACCCAAAATCAAGCCAAGACTTGAGAACATTTGACACATCAACTTAAGCAAGAATGCAATTAGTAGGTATAGATTGTAAGAGCATTTTCTTGTTCATTTACTAATAAAAGAAAATAAACACGTATACCTGGATTCTCTTTTGAAGCAAATGCACATTAATTTTATGATGTAAATCGTAACTCCTATATACAAAGACTCTTACTACTCTTCCCTGTTGGCAAATATTGGGATGGCCATGCTTAGAAGGATTGCGGTCTTTCAGAAAAGATGCTGGGCCACAAACCTTCTACTAATGTGACCATATACATAGCGTCTGATCATAAAAAGTTGAAGTTTGCATATGCATAATGAGTCTTTATGTATAAAAAATAAACATGTCTCCTGCTTCCTAGCTTGCAAAGTGAAAATATTTCATATCGTATGTTTCAATTACTTCTAAAATTATAACCCGCCTCCACTGAAAATAATATTGCTTCAATAGATATAGTATAGACATAAACAACAAAAGCTGACCTTCTCAAAATAAGTTGCAGGGGGAGGTATCACACCCCCTGCCCCCATGAGGGGCTCTGCAATGAAAGCAGCAATCTGAAATGGATTACCATATCAAGTCAACGATAGAAATCATTTACAGTTGCAGAACCATGTTTTACATGAATTGGTTCCTATTGAATAGGATTACCGTCTCCGGTCCCTCTTTGAGGATAAGATTCTCCAAATTATCGGCTAACCTTGTTGAGAACTCCTCTTCCGTCTCATCTGACAGGATCATTCATACACCTTTTACTTTCTTAAATCATAAAACAAGGAATGTTATCTCAAAAGTAAGAAGGGAGACAAACAACCTGGAAGACGATAACGCCAATAATGAGGACAGTCCGTATGCAATACAAATGGTGCCGGCAGATCAAAATTTTGATGAAGTGCAGGAAGGCTGCGAAAAAACATTCTTAGTGGAATGAAGGTTTCAAAAAAACACAAATTGTGATTGTTTGGTGTGATGTTTCTTTGTAAACACCCTACCCAGAAAGACTAGCAGCAATAAGAGTTGACCCGTGGTATCTGTCCAAATGAAAAACTAACATTAAAACAAAAATTCGTAGGATTTACGCAAAGAAAATGCAATCAATCTTGTCACAAATTACGATTTTGCTCGAGCAATAAATTTCTTCTTGTTTGGCCTTCCAAGCGCATTGTTGTAATACCAAATCAGCTTCACCTACATGTGAGTTGATATATCAGTTTATAATCATCTAAAATTGGATCAGAAATTTAGCTTCAAAACTTAAAAATTGTTTGGCTCCAATTCCAAATTGATTCCTTTTCGCTATTGTTTCCCACATCATTCTGGAAATGTTCATCACGTAAATGTTTTCTGGTTTCAGGTCATCTCAAATGATCTTATAGGTCGCTGGGTAGATTTTTGGACTTAGTGTTCATTATCATGTGCTGCCGTTTAAGTAGTGAAACTGTATAGTTTGCAACTTAAACATCATGCCAAATCCTGACCCTAAAAATTTCCTTCTCCTAATATTTTTCTTAACTTCATAAGGTTCAAAGGTAATTATCCAGCTTGTTCTCTGTTGATCAGGGGTGCTGGGAGTGGTGCACAAAGTGGCTGCCCTCAGACTCAACCTCAACCTCAACCTGTGGGTTGTAACAACACCTTCACCCTTAAACCATTTAGTGGTCCTTATTTTATGTTCATCATTATCATTAATATAAATCGAATTATAGCCATACCAATGTTCAAGAAGATTTTCAACTCACAAATAAAAATTTTTGATATCAAAAAAATATCAACTTTTCCAATAGATTGGAGTGCATTGGTGGCGCCTAGGGCACCTCGAAAAGAGGGAGGTGCAGGGGTTGAGTCCCCGCTGAGACATAAATGCCATTTTTTGTGTGTGTTACTTACAAAAAAATAAATAAAAACAGGTCATTTTTACCAAAAAGAAATGAAAAAAAAAAAAAAAAGGTCAAGTGCTTCCTGAAATTAAACAAACCTGAGTGTCATTGGCTTCTGATCCACTATTTGTGAAAAAGACTTTTGCCATTTTAGTTGCTGTAAATGTTTCCAGAAGTTCCTTTGCAAGATCCTGGGATTTCAGAACAGTGTAACATTATGAAAATGAACTCTCGCATTTATGCTGAGAATGTGAATAATACAAGTCCATTACTACCAAAGAGGGTTTTGTAGTACGATTCCAGAAGGAGTGGTAAAATGGCAAGGTATTTAATTGTTTAGTTGCAGCAGCAACAAGACGAGGTTCATTTCCACCTGCGGGTTTATCAAAGTAAGCAATTAATTAAAACTAGAGAAGAAAATTTAACAATTGTCACCACATCAACCTAGCACAATGCATTCCCAGGTTCCAGATTTGTCTAATTCACAATCCTTATAAACGTGGAACATGACTGGATTGTAGAAAGAAATTCACAACAGGTGAAATCAAGTGATTATATTATCAGCATCTTCAGAAGGGATCTAAGAAGCACAAAGGTGGCACATACACCCTTGCACACTCTAAAGATAGGATCTTAATTTCAAACACTTGTTCAACACTACTTTGGTGATGTGTTTAACACTTCATTAGGCCGTGTGTATGACTTTTTAATTAGAAACATCAATTTCGTTTCATAGAAAGTAGGAAAAGTACAAATGGTGGATAAGATATCCATCAGAAAACAAAATGATTGAAAAGCAAAAGAAAATGGAAAATTACAATAGCAAATTACTTGGTCACAACTGCCCAAAGAGATGCCAACAACTTTACTCAATCCAAATCCGCTTCCTCAAATCTTTCCTAAAAAATTATGCAATTTCTTTCCATCCAAACTACCCAAAATAATGCCATAAAAGCAGATGCCCACAAAGTTAAAGGACTTAAAGCTCTTTTTGTTTCCCAAAATCCATAAAAAATTTCCTCAAGTAAAGAAATAGCATCTCTCGGAACCACCAACTAGAACATCCAACTCAAAACCAATTGGCAATAAGTTGAGAGATCCTTTCCCTATTTAAACCAACCTTGGGTGACCCTAATCATTTGGTGTGGCTCTTTTTGTTTCCCAAAATCAATTGCAATATCAGTGGAAGTAGTTCAAAAAACAATGTGAATTCTGCCCAAAAAAAAGTAAATAAGAAAGACAAATGACAAGGAACCATATTTCCAAGGGTAAGAAACAATGCGAAAAATGAGCAGTTGATCGTTGGAATGTAGTATTATGAGTACCTAATGCCGTGCACCACAGACCAGCAAGAGCATCAAGATACTTTTTTCCATTTGTGTCATATACATAGGAACCCTACAACAATTCAGAAATAGTGTGAGCGAATTCCCTTTATATTGTGGAACAAAAACCACCTTCAATACCAACAGTATGCGATAAGAGAGAAAGATCACGCTGTGTAATTTAAGTAATTATGAAGCTAGCCCCTTTAGATAAAATAAGTCAGCAAGGTATACCTCTGACTTTTCTATTACTAAAGGATGCAAATCATTAGTCTGCCACCCAGCAGTGAAAGGTGCCAGCATATCATGCCCCTTAAATCTGTAAACATAAGGAACTCCAGTAACTAACATTACAATTTTTCTCGTGATCACATGTATACAGAAGATATTACAAAGACTTGGAAGACACAACTACTTGTAAGCACAGAACTACAGCATTTCTGATTACATGAGTTAATAGAAATTCCTTGAATGTTGAGCAGATGCATGAAATGGAGAGATTTTTTTTTTGTTAGAAAAAAAGGGGTGGGCAGAAAGAGACAGACACACAAATGACATATGCATATGAGCAATCAAGGAACAGTTGATACCCTTTATTGTGGTTTTCTGAAACATCCTTCTGCAGAGTTGCTTCTGTACTATTCCATCTGGCCAGTAAAGGAGTCCCAATCATATGCTCCTGCAGACTTCTATAAGTTGCAACATGTTTTATGTATGAACGACTCTGTAGATACAAGGTAGAATCTGTTAATAAAGTCGCAAACCACAAAGAAAAGGTATCCCAAAAGCATGAAGTCTATGCAAAACACTAGCAAGAACATTGATGCCCTCTAGAAGTTTAATTTCCATTCTAAATGAAACGACATGAGCCAATGAATTTCCATGAGCACGTGTGAATTCACCACAGATAATATTTTCGGAAGGATTGAATCCAATACATCCCAATGGCACTTTCAAATTTTTTCTGCAAATATTTGTTTATCACCTCAATTGGAGTCGTTTAATTACAAAAATCCAAGAAGGCATTTGATTTCCATACCTTTATTTAAATCCAAAAACAACATATCCTTAGCCCCACACTTCAAAAAATTTCTGGATAGTCACCATTCAAATCGAAGATCATTCTTGCTATCCTTTTTTTGTTGGTCTGCTTTTGATGGCCATCTATGACCAACCATTATGGATTTGTCCTTGTGCTAATATGTTAGAAATGGTGATATAAAGTACACTTTATTCATATACGTGTACCCATCCCATTAGTAGTGTCCAACTTGGTCCATTAGGGTCTAGTTAAACATACCTGCAATTTTTGTTCATTCTTCATGAATGATTAAATGACTTGGTGAATTTGACTTGTGTTGTTGTCTGATCAATTTGCATATAGTAAGGTCAAAGGTCCCAAACGGAAGGGGTTTAAACTTGTAATCGCGTGATTTAGCTTTTATTTGGGTATAACTTCGTGTTTGAGTGCATAAGACCTATTAATCCCCCTTAGGTCACATTGATTTGCTTCAATGTTCATTTTTCAATCCAAATACAAACTCCAAATTGACAAGTATCACATAAAAACAATTTTAAATCCAAATTGTTCAATATCACAAAAAACAAACTTTCAATTTCATACACTCCGCTATGTGTCACTAGTATAAAAAGTAAGAACAAAGATGTAATTATTGAATCAAATGTTTCCTACTAAGTGCCCACACAAATTTAAGAGAAAAAACAATCCAGTGATGCTGATCAAAAATACCCCGTGGCAGGGAATCGACAATTGACAAATTCAAAACAAACAAACAAAACAAAAACAAATTGAGCAATTTGATGTGGTGGAGTTGCTGCAATTAGGGATGGCAGTGGACCAAAGCGGGGGCCGGGAATGTAGTCTTCATCCTTGTAACCACTTAAAAAAATTCCGTCCATCCTCATTAATGGGTATAATTTTCATCCCCATCCCCGTTTGCAGGTAAATTTATAATTCCCGCCCTGTCTCCCGCCTTTACCTTTGCCCCCGCCCCGTCCATCTTACCCTCCTAAACCCAAGCCCAAATTCAAGTCCAAACCAACATAATTCAAAATTCTAAATAAATTTAACATTCTAAATAATCTAACAAAATTATATAATATCATAATATAATTAAAAATTTGTCATTTACAACAAAATATAATTAAAACCTTATTTACAACATAATCCAGCATAATGCAATTAAAAAGTTGTCTCCCTTGTAAATCTAACACAATATCACGCAACACAACATAATGTAACATAATATAATTCAACATAAAAAAAAATATAAAAACACAAATATCCACATTTTTACAAGTCAAAACTAAGAAAAAAAAATCAAAAAATAAAATAATTTTTCAAATAAAAAATTATTCAATAATATATAAATTTATATTCACAGTAACATGTATATATATATAAAATAATAATAATAATAATAATGATGGGTGAAGCGCGACGGGGCGGCAGGGTAAGTGTCGGCCAATCCCCGCCTACGTCTCAGTATGAATTTATATGAATATTCCCGTATACTTCCACCGTCCAATACGATCCATGCGGTTCAAATGAAATAGGTTTGAACGAATACTCATTTTTATCCGATAATCTTAGCTGCAATATAAAGGTCTGCCCCGCAAAATACACCACCACAATGTTATAAAATACCAAAGAACTTAGAGCACATTATCAACCAATCTATAAAAAACTAACCAGAAATATTTGAAGCATAACTACCACCTTCACATCAAAATCGTATCAAATGAAGTGAAATCAACCTCGAGCTTCCACTCCACCCAGAAATCATTGAAGCATAACTACCACCGCATGACTTTTGTCACAAGACTAACAGTTCCTGAATAATATATGATCTAATTGACTACCATAAAATTTACACTAAGCCCAGATAATAATTCATGGTCCTAATTGTACATAGTCAGCCTCAAGGTGGTTGAAGTGAAAAAGATCAACATCTGTAGGAGAAGAACTGGATGAACAAAGCATGACAGGGGTGTTTAGTATTTACCTATGAAATGAATTGACTGGCTGGCTCAATGAAGAACAAAACGCAAAAAATTTACAGAGACGTCTAAATAGTACATATATATATTAATATAATGAGAAAGATGGAGCGAGCATTAAGGATTTGAGACCTGGGCGGTATTGGCTCGAACAACGGATCGAATGAGACGGTTGATAATCATTTTGTTTCTACCAGAGGTCTAGAGCCGTGCTACCCAGAAAACTTCAGCAGCTGGGGAGAGAGAGAATGGAGAGAGAGAATAGAGAGAGAAAGAAACAGAGAGGTATTAACGTAACTGACGTCTACCCTATCTTTTAGGATTTGTCCTGAGATATGTAAAAGGACACCTCGGAATGGGGTGGGACCACCCCGTCGCTATTTATTTGGAGGCTAAGCTAAATAATGCAATAACCCACACAATTAATTAAATATTTTTGAATTTTCCTTTTTTAATACTCATTTCTTTTATTTATTTTCTTAACAAAATCAAATACCATATATTGACGACGAATTTTTATTTATATACAATAAATCTCATTTAAATTTATTATAAATGATTTATCAAAAAAAATATATATATACAGATCCCCTCCTATAATTGGATCAAAAAAAATTATTGATAACATACTAGTAATAAATTATTTATAGTTATAGGTTTTTAATTGATTCATTTATAATAATTATCATAAAAATAATTAAAAGTAAAAAAAAAATTTACACGTGTTATTTTTATTAGATAAAAAGAGATATATAATAGTAAAAAAAAAATAATAGTACTCTGGTAGTCGGATGTTTGACAACTTTCTGTAACTCCTAAGCTAATTGAGTGCTTGGTTGACCGGAAAAAGTAACCAAAGATAAGGAGCAACAAAGCTGTCATTATCATAATAGTATTTTTTATTCCATTTTTTATACATTTAAAATGAAAATTATTTTCCTGATGACAATGCCACGTCATTTATTATTATTTTTTTTTGTCTTTCAATGAACCTAGTCACATACATAAGTTGCCTTGTTTTAGTTTGAGACGGAATTATATTTTACTACCTCCAACAAACGTGATATTTTTTTTATCTTACAAAAAAGGATATATTAATTTATTAAGGCAAAACGATTTATGTCATAATTACAGAAATTAAAATATAATAAGATCCGTTAACACGACTCAAATACAAAATAAAATTAGAGAATTTAAATCTTTTCTTAAATTACCTGTTTCGTAAACAAGTGAACCCAATATGATTATAAATACATCGAATATGGATGAAGTTAATAAAAAAAATACACGTTATGACTCGTTTATATATCGATTATACATGATTCATATACGATACAAATTTAATATAAATATAATTTATTTTATACGAATTAATAAACAAATCAAATAAGTGTGAAATACTTTTTAACACAAACCTGCTTAGACTTAACATGAATCCATCTTACCAGATACTATTAAATGGCCCGGTCACAATAATAAAAATATAATATAGTATATTTTAAACCATAGGAAATATATGATATTGAAAACTAATTTTGTAGTTATTAGTTATGAAAATAATAAAATAAAATAAAACAATAAAATAACATAATTGTACACGTGTCATTTGGTGATTGGGCAGAAAATTCATGTAGGGGTAAAATCATGCCCTCAGATATTTTATAATAATTTCTGGAAATTGAATTTTATTATTTATAAAATTGCTATTTTTGTCAAAAGCTCAAGAACAAAATTGACAAAAACTATTCATAGACTAGTGCATAGATTTGTGTATATTACAAGGGTAATGTAAGGGGTAGAAATCGCTACGGATCTCATCCCTCCACTTGAAGGATTTCGGCTTGACCTGGGTTAACCCACGCGGGCGACCCCCCAGTAGCCTTTACCCCTCAGTGCCCGCAGGAGCTTCGTCCCACATCGACTGAGAGTCGTCTCCCCCCCTCGCATATAAGCCCTTGCACTCAAAGGAGGAGGTGGGTAGAAATCGCTACGGATTTCATCCCTCCACTTGAAGGATTTCGGCTGACCTGGCGGCACCGAGCCCCAGTAGCCTTTACCTCTCTTCGCCAATAGGACCCTTTCCTAAGGCAATCCCACATCGGAAGAGAGTCGTCTTCCCCCCTGCCATATAAGTGAACACTTCCTATGGAGGAGGTACCCACTAGCGACCTGATCAGGTGCTACTAATGGGTACCTCCTCCATAGGAAGTGTTCACTTATATGGCAGGGGGAAAGACGACTCTCTTACGATGTGGGATTGCCTTAGGAAAGGGTCCTATTGGCGAAGAGAGGTAAAGGCTACTGGGGCTCGGTGCCGCCAGGTCAGCCGAAATCCTTCAAGTGGAGGGATGAAATCCGTAGCGATTTCTACCCCTTACAAAAAGGCGCCTTTTTGTAAAGGGTAGAAATCGCTACGGATTTCATCCCTCCACTTGAAGGATTTCGGCTTGACCTGGGTTAACCCACGCGGGCGACCCCCCAGTAGTCTTTACCCCTCAGTGCCCGCAGGAGCTTCGTCCCACATCGACTGAGAGTCGTCTCCCCCCCTCGCATATAAGCCCTTGCACTCAAAGGAGGAGGTACCCACTAGCGACTTGATCAGGTGCCTAGTGAATACCTCCTCCTTTGAGTGCAAGGGCTTATATGCGAGGGGGGGGAGACGACTCTCAGTCGATGTGGGACGAAGCTCCTGCGGGCACTGAAGGGTAAAGGCTACTGGGGAGTCGCCCGCGTGGGTTAACCCAGGTCAAGCCGAAATCCTTCAACTGGAGGGATGAGATCCGTAGCGATTTCTACCCCTTACAGGTAAAAAGTATTATTTACTTGACTCCGTACACTACATACAAAGAGTGGATGAGTAAAATTGTTCATTAGCTATATCATCAATTAATTATAAATCAATGTATAGATTTAGTGAACATTATATATTATAAAATAATCATCACATTAAATAACCATCAAATTGAATATATAGACTTCACTATGTCCAACTGATAATAATATAACCCTTAGTGGTAGTTTAGTGCTTGAACCAAACCTCTAATAACCCAAAAATCTAAGATGCAAACACTTCCTATACCCTCTCAGAGTCATTCACCATTGTTCCTAAAAGGAACGTGTTTTAAACCTCCGCTGGAGCTACCATGGTCAATATCTGAACTCGAGAGATTAGTCAGTGTAAACATGAAAATACTGTAGAAAAAAATGATAATAATGTGATATTATCGTTACGTACATCCTGATAAAATACACATTCTCTCTCCCCCTCGCACTCCCCACTTATTCTTTTCATTCTAGTGGGGGAGGAGTCACTCTTCATGCAGAAGCAAATGATTGATAAGGATAATAAGATTGTTGGTGATTATCATAAAGCACTCTTACCATCAAATGCAGCTCCCATTAGAACTCATCTTGCCGTTTTCAAGAAGGAAAGAGAAAAACTTCAAAGCCATGAACTATTTCAGACCAGACCCAGATGGATGATTTGGCTCAAAAACCCGAGGAATGAACACAGGAAGCTGGTTTGAGGCACCATCCATTCTAAATCTTGATTCTCGAGCCAAGTTCAAGTTCAAGGACACCCTACCTTGGGCCTGTTGTAAACCTGAGCTCCTCTCATTTGGTCCTGAGCCCCTCTCATTTGGAGAACTGTCCCTCTTTGGAACACTCAAAAGCGGGCCGCCAAAGAAGATAGACTCCCCAGTATACATGAGCTTCTCGGATTGCTGGACCGGGAGCTTTGCTGCAGGTTGTGAAGGTGCTTTAGGGGGAATAGCAGGCCTCTTATCATTAGTACCTGATCCTGCATTAGGATTCGATACTCCTGTTTGCAGTAATGATCTGGTCCGAGCTTCTGAAGCTGACATAGGAACTGACACGTACCTTCCGGCTTCTTGATCCCAAACAACCGATGTCCGTTTAATGTCTGTGAGGAGAGAAGTTGCTGGGGCTGCAACTGGAACTGGTGCTGAAACTGGAGCTGGAGCTGAGTGCAATAATGGATCAGTAACACTACCTTTTGTTATGATCTTTTCCTCAAACCCGGAGGAAATTTGGGATAATGGAATGTTGATACTAGGGAACGCAGCTCTAGAAGCTAGGGACCAATCTGGAACATAGCCAGGTACTGAAGTAGCTGCACTAAAATGGCTTAGGCCATGAGCTTGTGGGAGAGGGCTTAGCGTAACGGCCTCATGGACTTGGCTTGGACTGCTGAAGCTACTTACACTCTGAGTTCCAGTTTCATATTCATCCCGACTACCTTGACTTGGAGCAAAAGAGTTTCGCAAAGGAGACAATCGCAATTCATTTTTTATGTCTTTATTTCCTCCCGTGTCAGTACTCATGCTGCTTCGGACACTCATGTTCCCACTGGAGCTCAGCTCAGAATCTGGCAACCGCTGGTTGTCAACAGGACGTAGTACAGATGAGGATGCCCTGGCTTTTGCTGCTGCTCTCATGGCCTCATTGGAATCTAACTTTGCAAGCTTCCAGGCACTGATCCGAACAGGCTTTTTGGACATCTTACTTACCTTGTTTCCAGCCGCATCTGGATCGACTGTTGATGGAACCATTCCAGGTTCTAATTGAGGTGCAACTTCCTCCTGATACCAACAGTTTCAGAATAGGTTATATCGACCTTCTAAACAGGATAGTGTTTTAAGTTAAAGTGCTTTTGCCTCCTTTTTCACCAAAATTTTTAATATAATGCTAGGTTTTTTTATGGTATGGAATATAACAAAAGGTCAAAGGCTAGATAAATAGATTAGTCAACAGTAGCTGGTTTTGTTACCCATGGCTCAAATGCAGGGTAACTAACTCAGAAGTAAATATACTTGAGCAGGTTTGATATTTTAAGTGTGCATAAATCTGGATTAAATGAGTTCTTATCTAACCTTTTTGGAAAAAAAAGGACAAGCAATTCTTCAACTAATTCATACTTTGGACATCGAAAAGCAGCTAATCGGGCTGGATCTCAAAGATTAGCATATTGTGCAAGTGGTCTAACAGTGACCAAACAAAGACTTCCAATAGACTCTGATATTGTGACCAAACCAAGGGTTCTTACTCACAGGTTTATGTGAACTAAACCAACCGCAGATAAGATGGTCTGAGTGCTATCAATAGGGATAGCTTTGGTTGTGCACATTATAACTAAAAAAAAATTGTGCACATTGTACCTGATAATCCACAAACACCCTAGGAGGTGTGCACCATGCTCCCTTATACTGCAGGCCCAGAGAACTCCCACCACTAAAGCCGGTTGTAGCAGAACCTGTTGGAGAATAGATCATATTTGGCAGTTCCTCATCTACAGATGCTCCAGCTGGTACCTCGCTCATGGCCCTCATTGCCACCACATACTCGTAGGTTGTAATGCCCTAATTTCACAATGCAACAGAATAAAATACAGAAAACTAAATTAAATCAATATAGGGATACATATGCATCTCTCTTTCTGAAATATTCTCCTCATCACGTGTGCTGTCAACACAAAACAATAGTGAAAATGATCGGACTGCATTTCTAGTTAACCATATTCCATTACCAAATGGTGCCCTGCAGTGGAAGCAAAACTGTTATCATAAATCTTCAAGTGTCTCACCTTTCTAATAAGAATTGTGTGGAAAAAGAAAAGTTCACCCAAGGGTAAACAAGCCAGCAATGAAACAGCTGTACACACAGCCTGCACAAAATGAATTCACCCATTAACATAATGTAGAATACTAACTGGAGTCTTAAGGCATATCAGAAGTGAAGCTACCACAACAGTCGCAAATGGGGCACGAGAGAAGCCATTTCCTAGTCTATCAACTATTTCAGCCTCCATGTGCTTATTAACAAAACAACGAACCAGAACAGCAATGCCAACTCCAACTTCAATAACAAGCTGTGTATGACAGAGGGACAGAGCATTAGCAGTTCAGGCAAATTCTATTGTCCTGAATGATTATTAGGCTTCCAAACTTACCCAAACGAGGCTAATGGCCATAAGAGATATAAAAGTTACATAATTTTTTCGTCCGACACAATTGTTGAGCCACTGCACCAAACAAAATCTAACTGGAAGTTAGTTTTCATGACAATGCTTAGGAATGCGTTAGCTCTCAAGACAAAAACAATGTGACACAGGTGGACAGCAGAGAGCATGAATATAAATTAGAAATATACCCGGCAATGGTGATCAAATCCATCCACACATTTATCACAACTTCGACAGTGTTTGCTGAACTTGCGTACCTGTAGCATGGAAAGCATCTACAATAGTAAAGAGGCCTCAATCTACAACACATGGAGACAAACACAACATAACATGAACACAGTGACATGATAAATTATCAGGAAATAGTGCAAGGAATCCAAAAGTATTTACATGTAGAAATAAGTGTATATTACTTGCAGATATAGATTGACACACACACACACACACACACTAGGGGTGCAATGCAAGTGAGAAGTGATGGAATTGAGAAGGATGTTGGTGGTCGTTAGATGAGTTTATTTGTGACTGTCGGATGGGCTTATTGAAGCCTGTCCTATTTTATATTATATATATATATGTATATATATAGAATGTTAAAGTTATTTTAATTGAGGGTATTGTTATAATCTTCACTTTATTATGAGTTAATATAAATACGGGTGATGAGAGGAGAGGTAGGTTAACTCTCATTCTCCTTAACCCAATTTTCTAATTTCTTCCTTCTCTTCTCTCTTCTCTCCTTTCTTGCCTCTTATCCTCTCTACACTCTAGATATATATATATATATATATATATAGAGAGAGAGAGAGAGAGAGGTATTTACATCCAGGTGTAAATTAGCACAGAGTCATAAGTGAAAACTCTCCCCTCCAAACCTCCCCTTCCCCCCTTTTCTTCCATTTAAACATTAGAGTATGTTATTGCTATTGAAAGATACCGTCTAACTTCATAGTGGATCTTATACCACTCTTAAGGTGATTCTTCATCATAATTATGCTTTTTCCCACAATATTTTTTTTTATCAAAATCCAATTATTATTATTGTTAATACATGCACCATTGTGGACGAAGACAACGCAACAATATCAAAATTCGTCTCCCAGCATTCAAGGATTTGTCAATGACATGGTGCATGAGTGTCCAAAAAGCACAAGTAACAAGTTATGAAGTTGGCTTTCAAATAATGAGAAGGTCGGGTTTGCCAGAATGTGGCAGGGAGTCCGCAATCTTCAGCAACTGAGACAAACTATTTTACAATTATATTGGACCTAAAAAGTTCCCAATTATGATGCAGTCACTCTTAAGTTAATCATGCCCATAGATAGATATCATACAGCAGCTTGATAAGAACCTTAGAACAATAAAGAGGATTAGTGTTTTTTCTTCTTCTGATCAAGTTGAACTTTGTTCATATATAGCGACCATAAGAAAATTACTGATTAGTATGAATTTAGTAGACCCCTTATTACCGATCCTTAGTTTCCACAGACTTTATGAGCACCCTAAGGAATTCCATTGCCAGGGATAAGAGTGAGGTCTTGATTCACATCCCAAGTAATAATTCTTCAGGCTATAGAATTTTAGGATGTCTCTCCTAGTCGAATCTCTCAGGATTCAAAGGCAGTGAAATTACAGAAGTTCGACACGCATGAAGACAGACAATGTTACAACTACATTTGACCTGACAAGTCCCAATTATGATGCAGTCACACTAAGTTAATCATGCCCATAGATATAGAAGCTTGATAAGAACCTTTGAACAATAAAAAGGATTAGTGTTTTTCTTCTTCTAAACAAATCGAACCTTGTTGACATTGAGCGACCATAAGAAATTACTGATTAGCATGGATTTAGCAGATTCTGGTCATCTGCTCGCACAATAGGACCAGTAGACCGTTATTGCCGATCCTTAGTTCCACAGACTTTCATACAGCAAGACATGAGTACCCCACAAAATTCCTTAGGGATGAGAGTGAGGTCTCAATTCACATCCCTAGTAATAATTCTTCAAGGTATGCAATTTTAGGATGTCTCTTCTAGCTGAAAAACTGTTGATTATCTGGGCAGTTCTTTTGCCTGTAGTTTATGACAGAATTTTTTCATTTTTATTTGGAAAGTAAAGTTCATCACAAAAAAAATAACTGGCAGTAAATGTTGAGGTGTTAGAGAAAATTAAAAGGTCTGAGAAAGGTGTTGGGAGAGTAATGGGTTGAAGGAGAGGAGATTATGAAGATTCCTAATTGGTGAGCAGGTTAGCTTCAAAAAGGACAAGGAGGTAACTAAAGTTAGATCATGGAAACGAGTCTAGACAACACAGAGTCATAGAAGACACAATGGATTCTCTTGATGATAGATGATTTATAGTCTTCAAAAAAAGACAACTCTCCTTGGGGTACTAACGGTTGCAAGTATCCCAAATTAGTTTTGGCATATAATTTTGTATAGATCAAAAAAGTTTTGGAATTTCAATAAATAGAGAAAAAAAAAATATTTTCAAAACATTGGTTGAATCACATCGAAACACCTTGAAATGTGTCAAAACATTACAAACACTACAAAACATAGAAATCTTTTTACTCGGCCACATATTCGTTTCAATTTCCATAGAAACAAAAACATTTATGTCATTTAGACAAAAAATAAAGAAAATTTTGATTCTTGATGGTTGGGATTGAGAATGAAAGTTGAAGTTTGAGCGCAACCACTTAGGCACAAATATGCAAAGAGTTAATCAGTATTCAATCTCAGCATCTAAGCACATTGCACAAGCAAAATTAAAATCAGGTGATGACCTATGAACAAAATTTTAGGGTCACACTTGTAAATTGGCAAAATTCTGTCAACAAGTCGATTTATGTCTATGTCAAAAATTTTGGAGATTGAAGAGATTCAACAAGGATTTATTTGAGTTTGAGTTTGAGTTTGGTTGAAAATACAAAATTGTAATCACCAAAATCACACCGGTTAGGATTAGTAAGTAGACCAAGAGACCTTTAATTGTCCTTCGCATGTAAGTAGACTAATTGGATATGAAATGACTCGATTCACAAAATTTACTTATCCTTATTTGATTTGCATAGTTTACGTATCCTTGTGTTTGAAATTGAAAAACGTGTCCTAAAACCTAGATTGAAAGACTTAAGTATCGACCACAATCAAGCGAGCCACTTTGATGCTCGAGCAAGGTTATTTAGGATGAGTTTGAATGGCAATTTACATTTGAGTAAAAACAAGCTCTTTTCCTTTACTCAAACTCATATCAAGGGAGACTAAAATTTTTACTCAAATCAAGAGAGACTCAAATGTTTATTCAGATCTCTAATGGTCAAATTTCATCATCCTTTAAAGATCTAATAGGCCATATTTCAACCTCCTTTATGTTTGAATTTGTCCATCTTTAAATTTGAGTTTGTCTACCTTCAAATTTGAGTTTTTCCATAGAAGTGTTTTGTATCAAATCAAACTTCTTATTGAAATGTTGACTCAAATTTAAGTATAAATTTGAGTCAAGGTTGGAGATGGTCTTAATTTCATATACATATAACTATATGGCGTTTCAACAAGGAGGGTGATATTTCTGAAAAATTGCAACAATTATATGCTTTTGGGTTGTCTGATGCAATTCTAAACCATAGGTGTGATGCCAAAGGAACCTAGAACTGATACCTAATTTTCTTCTGCTTTCTAAAATTTTCCTGCACCTAAACATTTCCAAACCAATCTATTTTTACTTTCTTTCGATCCCACGCAACTCTGATCAACAAATCCAGCCTTTTCCTATCAATAAAACTTGAGGTCCAACACTTTTGAAACCCTAAAACACACTAAGCACCCAACTCGCTTCGCTTTTGTTGCAAAGCTCACTTCTCACAAGCACCCCACCCCATACGACTAGTTGGGAAGTTAATGTTCATGGGTAATTATTCTTTTTGGTCAGGCACTATTAGAGGAGGGGGGGACAATGAGGTTTAAACTCGCGACCTTAAGGTCCAACAATGAGGCGGTGGTCATTAGTCTAAACGCTAACCTCCAGGTTACTAGTCACAGCCCATAAACAGCACTGTTTTTGTTGGTTCATTGGTGTCCTACATCACAACCTCAATTTGATATTTTCACATCTTGCATACATTTTGTATTATGTTTCACATATTGGTCTTTTATCATACATTCTACACCCTAGATTTAGCCATCTTAATATGGAAAAAAAAAAAACAATGTTTTTCTAGTCCATTTTGATCACTAAAAAGAAGCAAACAGAAAATACATGATGCATATGTGGACGAGGTGTGGATTTGTGATGTGGTGAGGTAGTGGTAAGGTTGTCAGATGGAGCAGGTAGAAAGCCAGCCGACAGGTGGTGTTGATGGTAGTACTTAAAGTGGTTTATGCCATTGATTACATGTCATTGTTCTAATACTTGAAGGCTTGCTAAAGGCAACACAAGTTGGGGTTTTAATAACCACCTTTGTGCTAACCCTTGCAATTTGTTATCGTTGACATATTGCTATGACCACCATGGCAACTCCAAGTTTATATAAAGATGAAATGGAAAAAAAAATGCAACTCTTAGTATTGCTGAGGCACAATTGTCAAAACACAATTAGCAGTTACAGTTAACAGTCAATCAAACATGATCTACTTAAGAAAAATTCTAGCAATAAAATCAATACCTCAGCATTGCACAATGTGCAGAACAAAGCATCTTCAGCTGTGCCTTCTTGTTCAGCTGCTCCATCCTGCTTGCAGCAATCTTCATATACAAACATAGCACAGAAGATTCCTCCGCCATTACAAAAAGATGATTTTCTATTTTGGGGCATCAATTGTGCATTGGTTTTCCCAACTTCTCCTACTGAATTTTTCGTACTAGAGTTGGCTGCTGCAATGGAACTTCTAGAAGCAGAAGATGGAGAAGAATGTGCACCAGTCCCGAGTTCATCAAATTTTCTTGGCAGCTCATTGGCTGATAATCCGCACTTTGTATTGGTATTATCTATTATTTCAGAATCAAATTTAGACATAATGCCTGGATCTGCAGGATTAATTGCTGTAGATCGGACATAAAGAATGAAAACAAGGAGTGCCTGCGATGGGCAGCAGAACAACGTCAAATATATTGTCGACAATGTGTACATAGAAACAAAAATTATGAAAGTTTCTGAGCTAAGGCATGCATCAGAATGAGGTTGTGGCAGTCCACTGACCACCAATTCTACCAACAAAAGCACAAGCTAAATGAAAATTGCATCACTAAACTATTTAAAACAAAACAAATATCCAATCTGAGATAAAATGACCATAAATGTTCTTCAAAGAAGTAGATATCTGTAGTGCCCCGAACACAATTTAAGGGACTTTCTAGGAACCACTTGCTCATTCTACGCTTCCATTTATCAAATGCTTCTAAAGAAATAGATACAAGTAAATGAATACTTGATTCCTCATCAAAGATAAAAAGGTGCAAGCCAGTAATCCAAATCAAATGAATCCACATACCACTGGAGAATATGTAGCAACCAAAGCATACTCCCAAATGCGGCCTCCGATGAAAGGAGCAAAGAAAGCATAAAATGCAACAACTAATAAGCAAAATACAGTGATTGCAACCACCTGTCAAAGGCAAAGTCAAGATTTAGAGAATGCATTCATAGCTGTAGGCATATGAACCATAAGTACTCATCCAAATCTAAAATCCATAAAATGCCCCAACCCCGTCATGCGAAGTCATAACTTAGAATAAGCATGTAAGTTTAGAACACAAAAAATCAGAAAACAGTGAATCCACTGTTAAGTAAACCTGGGACAATAATGAGTAGATTACAAGGAATGCACCAGAATAAAATAACATTGATTGATAGTATAATAAATAAAATGAGAGAATGAAAGATAAATAATTCCTAGAATAAAGACTATGAAAGAAGCTTCTATCATCTAATAGATTGAGACAGATCCCACAGCTTCTTCGCAGACGATTTTAGATGTTCTTTTCAATTTCCTTGAAGTCAGGGACCTCTGCTAAAATGATTGAAATTTGAGATTAGGTTAGTTGTAATTTCAATAGATTTTTTCACCAAAAAAATCATCACAAAATTTTATACAGTAAGATAATATCCCAACTTAACCACCAAAACAATATTAAAAATAAGAAATTTATCAATCACATCTATTTACCCACAACTGATGTTGGAATGGTTGATGGTTCCAAATTCAAGTCTTACAGTCTGATCCAAATCTGGGCTAATTAATAGGGGTCAGCACATGTACCTGATAATCAGATACTGTTTTTATGAGCGGTTCAGATCAGCTCAGATTGAGAATACAAATACTATCTAACCCAGATTAGGTCTAAGCTGCAGCCCACCAACCAAACCATGGCATACATGTCTTAGAATCAAGTAGCTTTCAGGTTGTGATGTCTAAGACCTATGAAACACATATACTTCCATTTGGGGTGAAGTATCATGCAGAATCTGCAGATATGTCTCGGATATATGGAGATATACTATCATTAAATTTTTAAAAATCTGTAAAAACAATCTTTTGCGTAATGCAGTTTGATAGCAACTAAATTGAATTTTACTTATTTATGGATGCGGTCGTAAAAAACAGTGAGATAAACAATTTGAGAAAGTTAACTTCCCAAGGTGAAGATAAAGTTAGAAACTGGTAAAAAACTGATATATATATTCTAGAGACTTACTTATGTTATGTGAATAAATATTAGAAAATAAATTTGTATCCAACTATACTACTTAAAGAAGAGTCCAAAAGAATCTAGAAATCAAATCAGTGCATTCAAATGCATCAACTGACTTGCTGGAAAAAAATAGAAGCTTATAGTTTTGTGAATAATGTGGTCAATTGGTGGCTTGATTGGCTTTTTGTGTATACTTGTGGAAGACTACAAGAGTCCAAAAGGATTTCTAAGTTAAAGGGTCCAATAGGAGGCCTAGCTTTTGTGTGCTAACAAGATATTGAAAGATTGGGGAAGTTTTAAGGAAAAATTTGAGAAAACAAAATAGGATATAATTGACCTTATGATATTGATTAGGGAGAAAACAAGAAATCAAAAGTTCGCACAGTTTATTGAGAGAGTTATAGATATAGATATATTAAATATTTCTCAAACATATGCTATTGTGCCCACCCTAACACTTTCGTACAGACTCATACCTAAATGGTCTTGAACACATTATGGACATCCTTCACATATGTTTGGATATATTTTGGACACATTAGAGGTAATTATGTGAATTCTTCAAAAAGCTAATGAGATTTTTTTGTTATTGAATTAAAACTACCGATTGTAACAAAATATAGGATCACTTTATAAGTACATAAAAGAAAAGTTGTCATAAAATCCAATTACAAAACATTTTAACTCGAAAAGACATACGAACATATTAATTTAACTTGAAAAGACATACAAAAAATATTAATCTAATGAGATTATTCTCACCATAAGAAGTAGAGAGAAATGGAGAGAGTATGAGAGAAATTAAAAGAGAACAATATGCGATTAGTGACTGTGCGACCCTCCCAGTGAGCTGTATCTCGTATTTATATGATGTTGAGAGAGTCAGTGACAACACTACCCATGATTTTTTCAATACTTTCAGGTCTTTTGCTCATATGATTTTATACTTGTTTAACTTGCTTTTTTTTTTTTGGTAATATGAGTTGCAGTTGGTCTATAATTGCATGTTTAATACTTTTTATTGTATTAGATCTTTCAGCACTTGACATTTACTCGTATGCATGTTTACAATTTGTTTTTTAACTTGTACTCTTAATTTAAGCTTGAAATTGTTTGAAATTAGTCAATGGTCTTCAGTTTTCTACGATTGGCCTCGATGCAAATACAAATAAATGTATCATTATATTTTTTTTGACAGCAAAAAATTAATTGAAGCTTGTAGTTAAAGTGCCCATCCTAGACTGAACCCAGGAACTTATACATACTCACAGATGCAAAGGCAGTAGAAACAATTTAACAAAAATCAATACTAGCTTGAATTGAGGAAAAAATTCCCCAACACAAAAACCCAGAAACCAAGCCTTTGATTAGAACTAAATTAACATAAGTTCCTAAAAAAGAGAAATCTGTCGAGTGAATTGACCACCTAAACGAACCCACTTAGAAATTATCCATCTCTTTCTACAAATTTTAGCACCTTCAAGAATGTGGGTACATACATTAGTGAACAAAGCAAAACTAGTTAAAAATAACAGTTAAAAAATGAACTGAAACACACACACGTACATAGACTCACACACAGTATCCACTCCATCTATTCAAACCTGAAAGGTGTGCGCTGGTAGTTGCCAACCATGCTTCCTCACCATCACTCCACCGAAAAAAGTAGGGAAAACTGGAAACTTTACTCCACCCAATGCAATTCAGACCCTAAATAACCCACCACAGAGAAAGAAAGAGAGAATTTCCCTCTCTACAACCCAGAATTATAATACCCTGTTAAAAAATTGACTAATAAAGAAACAAAAGCGCACAAATTCTACAAACTCTTGCTTGTACTGGGCAGGAGCAGTTTCTAGTGTCACATTGAGGAAAAAAAACCAAAAAAGAAGTTTTAAAAAAAAAGTAAGAAGTCAATCAAAGCAAATTCTTTGAAAAATGTAAAATGAAAAAGAAAATTAGAGTGATAAAATTACTTGTTTGTTGAAAGCAACTCTGGAGAGATGTAAGAAATAGAAATAGGATATGAGAATGGGACTGGCGACTGCTTGACCAAAAGCAAATTGACAAAAGACAGCAAAGCGTTCCAATGCGAAGTGGGTGGCTGAGTACTGGTCAAATGGTAAATATACTGAAACCTACTTTACTTGATCGAAAGATGGGACCAAAGAATATTAATTTGGATGAATTACACTTTGTACCCTAAAAGATTTTTAAGTTATTTATATTATTCTCTCAAAGATTAAATTTCTCACAATTTACTTTTAATGTATCAAAAGTATTATAATGTGTCATTCTGTTAATTTTTTGTTAATTTTTTTGTCAGTATCAATAGGTTGACTTTTGACTAAAAAAAAATAAAAACTAATTGAATAATTATATTAAGGGTGTCAATTCGTATCGTATCGTGTTGAATAGTATTCATATTGTTATCCAAAAAAACTAAATTATTTAAAATGTTATTAGTGTTAAATATTAATTAAATATACTTATTATGCATATTTATCAATCGTGTTAAATTCGTGTCAATGGGTCTTAATTGAGTCAGATTGGCAATCCTCAGTATAATACTTTTAATAAATTGAGAATATAATATAAAAAATTTAAAAAAAAAAATATGAGAAATTTGAAATCTTTTAAAAAATCCTATTAATTTGGGGGTCTATGCTTTAAAAAATATATATAAATTTAAAGGTAAACTCCATCTACACCCCCTTTAGTCAAACATATATTTAATGACGGACCCCTACATCTTTTAAGATTTTATTGCATCCCTACTAGATTATGAGTAATATTATTTAAACTTAAAAATCTGACTTAATTTGCTGACATAATAATGTGGTTTCATAGGAATCATTAAATCAACATTAAATTCTAATGTTTGATGAGGTCTACAGTAAATTCAAATGTCACAATGAATTAGATCAGCAAATTATGTCTTAATAGCATTACTCCTAGATTATAGTGTAAAAATCACTTACAACTCCTTATGTTAATTGTCGTTTCTCAGAACCCAAAAAGTGAAATAAATCTTTTTTCATTTAACTTGAAATTGGCAAAGTCTAGAGAAGTTTTCTTATTGCAACAATCACATTTAATTTGTGGTAGAAAAGTAATGATTAAGATATTCAAATCAAAGATGACCAATAAAAAAAGATTATATTATAATTACGAGAAGGAATTATACGTATATTTTTTAGGGTGCAATCTCATATCTAGTGTACTAGTTATCTCTTAATATGAAATATATACCATGTTAAAAGTGAGACAAACGTTGAATTGAACGCAATCAAAGAATCCATAAAGATGTTGGTGATGGTTGTGATTGTTGTATTAGTTTCGCATATGTTGGTTGCAATGGTTGTCTTGATCAAGATGCAATAGAATCAGCTTGTTTTGTGGTTAGAATGTGTTTGCATTGTGTTATATCTGTCTCATTTTGCATTGTAGTATAGATTAGTTTTGCATCTGTTAATAAAACAACAATAACTAATAATCATTAGACAAAATGGTTTCATTATCATAGATAAGGTTACTCATTTTATACTTAGCATCCATGTACAGTTACAACCTAACCTATATATACTAAAGCTTATGTTGCACAAAAAAACATACAATCCACAACCTATGCATGTTTCAAAAACTATTATGTATTTGAACTAACTATACCCTTGACCCAAAAAAAAAAAAAAATAAATCTAATTAGAACAAATATGAACACTAGGAACAAAAACCATAAAAATTGTTTGTTTGTCAGCATAAGAAATTATGTCAGAATCTCTATTCTCCCCTGCCCCTACGTTGCCTTCCTCTTGCTCTGCCCATTGGCCTTGCAGTTTTCTCGTTTTCTGGCAAACTGGCCTTGCACTCTATAAGTAAATAGAAGAACAATGAAGTGTATGTGGCTGGAGAGAATTTCAGATTTCCTTCCAGGCTTAGTGTTGGTTTTCCTTTGCCTTTAGACTTGATGATTAACATTGAAGCCTTTTGGTAATTGAGGACAGGACCCGGTGCACCCGAGGCACTGTGAAGCTGTGCAAAGCTCCAATTCTCCAGCTTGTACGATCGCTCAAGGAAGAGAAACCTTGAATTTGCCATTCTTATCGACACCACCACCCCCCCTCCCCATGTCTCGAGTCTTCATTTGTAGACTTCCAACCAATGGTGACTTGATGCCCTGCACAAAGTAATGTACAAGATCATAGTCAATTGCATAAATTGTTTGGCATGATAATGAAAACTCGGCTTGGTTTGGATCTGACAAAATAATGTGGTCCCACTTCTCAGCAGAGTATGTTGCAGTAGTCCATTGTTGTCACTGGCTTCTTGTTTAATAACACACATGCAGAGCAATTCTTACAGGAGTCATTGAAAAGTTTGGTTCAACGATGGAATTGAACGAAAGGGACTAACTGTTACCCTTTACGAAACAATTGAGGTAGAAATTTTAAATAGGGATTAATTCCGGGGACATTTTTAATGTTTAGGCTAATAATTACCATGTCAAAAGATCAGCTGTTCACCTCTGTTACTAAGAGAAAGAGCACCATGATATTTGGTGCCTAATACAGCCTTCAGGATTAACAATAGCCCTTCTCTCTCTCTCTCCCTCTCTCTCACACACACACACACAAAACACAAACTCTCTCATTTGGCAAAATAATGGAGTGGCAAAACAAGTTCAAATCAAAGCCTACAACTCTAATTTCCCATATTTCATGCGCTGCAGTAGAAAAATTTTGAACATAGCACAGAGAAGATCGACTTCTGTAGTAAAAGAGAGAATAGCAAAACTAAAATCAAAATGCTAAGCTTACAGTTTGCACAAATCAACAACAACAATTAAATTGTATCTAGCTCAAATTTCATACCTGAAAAGGCCTAACAGTCTTAACGTTTCATTTGAGCACAATCGCTACATTCTCCAAATCCCCAACCTCAATTGTCTTACGGTCACCATAACAGAAACTTAGAGCAAATAGTAAGGACACCCACAAGCCCAAATGTACCCCTCGACGAGTCAGAAGAACCAACATTAAGTTGGCTTAGTAGTATTAAAGGAACAATTGAAAACTGGGTTCAAGCTGTAAGTATTTGATGCGAGGGATGAGTGATAGGTTTGAGTCTGATAGACCATTTATAAGGCCAAGAAATGATTCAAAAGGATTGCCTAATGATTGCAGATGAAGGTTGGGACCCCATGAGAGTTCATCCTTTGCAAAGAATTGAAATGGTAATAATGCTCACAGGCTTTGCTGATGGAGGGAAATTTAAACCAATTGAATGAGCATTGAACCAAGAGAGACAATTCTTGGTACTCTTCTCTGCAAGCCAACCTAACTCTCTTAGTAATTTTTCTTTGCACAAGAAACATAGTGCACTCCCTTTTTTTACAACAGAAAAAAGAAACACCAATTGCACATCCTTTTAAGTGAGTCAATTACACTACAATCTAGCAACCTATAGTGATTCTGGCAACACCCAAGTGACTCGGAGTTTTCCCCAATGGTGGAGTTGACGACGTTTGAGCCACCAGCCATGACCACCAGGGGGTGTGTCCACCTACTAATGCAATGCAATGGTGTTCCGATAGTTGTTGACAAAATAAAATTAGTTCAGAATGATGGTGACTTTGATCATTAGTTAATTAATTACCTTATTTGGTGTTTCTATGCTTGAATATTCTCAAGTTATTGTGCCAATTTAAGGCTAATTAATGGCTGGAGCTAGGTCTTATGAATGGATGAAAAAGGAGCGACTGAAACACAGACTGAAGTAACAAATGCAATATATCATTGGATACTCGTGATAAATTGCAGTCAGTGTTCATTAAGTGACTAAATTAGGAGCAATTTGGCAACATCCAAGATGATGATTGCTCTTGCATTTTACCCTTTATGTTGAGATTCTCAAGATACAGAAACCTAACATGATACATTATGGTTGCTAAGTATGCAAATTTCAAAGTTCCAAAATTAAGAGAGAAAAAATGCAGAGCATATGAGAGCACATGTACAAAGGCGAGGCCTACACAGGGGTATACTGGTACATTGTAGGGGTTCAACGTTCAGTTCAATAATGGAAAATGAGTTGCAGTTCTACCTGGTTCACTCTTAGGAGACTTACAGCTAAGCTACTTGAAAAATACTCATTTTTAGAAGCCACCATTCATGTAGAATATTATTAGCAATTAAGGCTTATATCAACATAATATTCACAACTTGCAATGGTCTTGCACACTCTCATAGGATGACAAAACTGTTCAGTATGCTCACAAAAATTGCTCAATTTCTTAGGCAATATGTTATTAATTCCAAATCTCGTTCACTTTCAATTTTCCAAATCAGCTTGAATATGCCTTTTACCGGAAGCACTACGCAAGTGAAAAAACCTTTTTCCTTTTCATTTTATTACAGAGTGTGGGGAGACAACAAGGTGAATCCTGTTACATAAATGGTTATTCCACTGCAGGTGAATAATGAAATCACACAGGTAGCAATACATTATCAATGACCTTTCATTTCAAGCATCTCATCCAATCTTTTCAATTTCTCCAACCCTTCACTAATCAAGAAACGAATCCTATGCTTGTCAATGCAAAACCGATTATTCTCCATCTCTTGTCTAATCATCTACCTTAATTCAGCGTGAAATCCATGAACACCAAGCCATTAGATATGCACCCATAATATGTCACATTGAAGAACAATAACCAGCTGAAGCTATTGGATAATGTCCAAAATTAATCATCTAGAAATTTACCAAGTATGGCAAATGGTTATCACATTGGGAAGTGAAAACAAAAGACCTCGTAGATGCAATAAAATGAATAAGTTTGAAGAAGCTTTTCCAAAGGAGTCCTTTTTCATCTCTTACCAAAAAATAACGCATAGTAAAAATCATAGCCGGGAGAACAAATCCAACCACTAATCAATATATGTATAGGACAAGATTCTTGGTTGATAGGAACTTCACCTCTACTGTGACCTGGTGCTCTTTGAGCAGTTTCTGTAGAGCTTTAATACTCAAGCACGGACAATAAAGTCCTGCAAATCTAAGAGAACCATGAATGATTCTATTCAACAACATATTTTCTTGTTAGATCATATCTCAATAGCAAAAACTGACACATGGGATAGAAAGGAAGCTTGCTCTTGGAAAACACATCATGGCTAACTTCTCAAAGGGATATCTAAGAGTGAACATAGAATTTTATCAAGTATCCACAAGTCGATGCATTCAAAAATCCACCACTGATTAGAGCTCTCTGTGTGACCATAATACTATTCTCGTGACACATGCAAATGCCATTTGACATCATCACTATTTTGGTATATGTCATTCATATTATCTCATTGTGTAAGGTGCGTTAGAAAAAATTCAAGTAGAAAGATTGTAACTTGTAACAATAAGTTGAATAAGAATTGCTAAAAATATTGACATAAAACACATTTTTAGCTAACCTAGCCTAGAACTTGCAATACGGTGTGCATTGTATATTAGAGGGGAAACAAAATTAAGTTCCAAACTATGCGTGTTAATAGGACATCTTGGCGAAGAGGAATGAAGGAGGAGGATGAGTAGAAGAAGAAGAATAACACTAAATCAATATTACAAGGTACTCTTTTGCAATGGGCATACATTGGTGGAGAGGAAGAAGAAGGAGAATGACAGAAATAAGAAAAAGTGGAGTAGTAGTAGTAGTAGTAGAAGAAGAAAAAGAAGAAGAAAGAGTGGGAAGAGGAATAAGGCGGAGGAAGAAAGAAGGAGGAGAAGGCGCATGAGAAGGTAAAGAGAAAGAGAAGGAGAAGGAGAAGGAGAAGGAGGAAGATGAGGAAGAAAATTGGGAGGAGGAAGGAGGGAGGAGAAGGAGGAAAAGAGAGGAATAAAGAGAATGATGATGATGAGGAGGGCAATGAGAAGGAGAAGCAGGAAAATAAGGAGATTAGAATGAAAAGGGAGGAGGAGAAAGAGCAGAAGGAAAAGGAGAAGAAGGAAGAGGAGGAGAAGAAACATAAGGAAGGAGAGACAGAAGGAGGAAGAGGAGGACAAAAAGCAAGGGAAGGGAGGAGAAGAAAAAGAAGAAGCAACACAACTAAAAGGAGTAGGAAGAGATGCAGAAGGAGGAGAAATAGAAGAGGACAAAGGAGGGAGAAGGAGCAAGAGAGGAGAAAGAAAAGGAAAAGGAGGAAAATCAGTAGGAAAAAGGAGTGAGGGGAAATAGACGGATGATGATGAGGAGGAGGAGGAGAAGAAGAATAAAAAGGACAATGGAAAGGAGAAGGAGGAGGAGGAAAAGTGAGAGGAAGAATGAGGGAAGAGAAAGAGAAGGATAAGGAGGAAGAGGAGAAAGAAAAGAAGAAGAAGAAGAAGGAGAAGGAACAAAAGGAAGGAGAGGGAGAAGGAGGAGAAGAAAAAAAGAAGTCACTCGAAAGATCAAAATTTATGGCTGCTCTGAGGAACATCCATGAATTGTGAGGAACAGAATTGATGGTTGCAGTACATGGTTGTTAATTATCAAAGGACTTAAAGTCCAGGCATAAAATTTGGCAACTTTAAAAAACCTAAGTGCAGTAAACCTACTAGATTAACATATAAAACGACCCAATAATGCATCCAGGCCAAACAAAAGAATATAGAGTGCCACTAACCTAGAATGAAATACAATTAAAGTCTCAATCTGTAACTTGATTATGCAAGGTCCCAAGTAAATAAAGCCCTGGAATTATACTCGGCAAAAAAATTTCTTTTCTTAGGTAATAAAATCAAAAGCTAGAAAGGGAAACAACCTATGAACATGAGGGGCAAAACAAAGTACACAAAATCAGCGGTTCACGAGAGAAAAACCACCCAAAAAATCAACAGGTTTCAACGTTCCTAGTCCTACAAAACAACACATTAAGCCAAAAATTAGAGAAATTGGCATCAAGGACTTTAATTTTTGGACTGGCAGCTCAATCCATCGAAATCATCTGCTATTTCTCTGTTTCCACATACCACACCAAGCAATGAGGCTCTGTATTCCAGAGCTTCTTAATCTCTTTCCTACTCACTGCCCCTTCAAGCAGCCAACTAAAGCCTCTACCGACTGCAGCATAAACAAACTGCATCCCAAAAAGAGCAAACAACAAATCTCACAACTTTCTTGCAACCTCTTAGACTGCAAGTAAGTGATTTTCTCCCCTCTACACATTTATAGATATACCACCAATTTGAAGATAATTTGATTGCTTCATCTTAATTGTCCATAGTCATCTTGACCTCTTACAACACTGGCCAAACAAAGACAGACACTCTTCCAAGGGCCACACTTACGACATCAACCAACGCTTCCTAATCCATTCCCTCACTCTGCACATTTTTAGTACCCAATTAAAGCCTCCGCCAATCACGGCAAAACCCATTATATCCTAAAAGAGCAAATAACTTTCTCACAACCTCAGAGAGTAAAAATAAGTGATTTTCTGTCTCCCCTACCCAGTTACACATACAGGACCAATTTATGATATTTTAATTGATGGCCCTACTCATGTGTGTACCATCCACACATGTATTCTTCACAATCACACGTTTCAAGAATAGTTCAACTGTGAGTAAGAATCATACTCAAGAACTAGTATTCACTTTATTATAATCGAATTCAATTACATTACACAGGCTCAATTTTGCAGATTTCACAAGCTCAATTTGTACATGCACAGATAATAACAACAATTTAAAACACAGCAACACAACAATTTACATTACCCAATCTAGAAGCTCCATGGTTGGATCACTCCACTAATATGAGATTTCAAATAAAGTTTAGACAAACTTTGTGGACTATAAAATGGGCAATCCACTACCCAATCTAGAAACTCTTTAATCTAGGATTTTGAAGTTAGCAAGAAACCTAACTTCACTAGTTGATCTACATCGCGTTGGAGGACGTAATATGGGGCATGTTGCCTCAAAGCCACCCCCCTTCCCTCGTTTTCTTGCCCACCCCTATTAGGATATGGATAGTTTTTCAAAGCTGATATATATTTCAATGAACAGGTTTTACTCAGGAATATCCATTTAGTTTATCCCTGCTGGGTTGTGTGTACAAATAATCCAAATAATGATTAGTTTAGCGCAGACGTTATATTCCTACTTTTAGACATTGCCCCACTCCCCAAAAAAATATAAAAATTCCTTGCTTCGCCCATGATTAGGCATGACCAACAAATCTCAGCCCACACCTAAACTCAGTTCACTAAGGAAGCTGACATGTTCACAATTGAAGTTGAAGAGAACTAATACAGTAACATGATCATTAGGTATTTGCATAAAACTTGAATAAGTTCCATAAAGAATGTCGCAGCAAAACTATATCCAAATATAACAAAAGAGTCTTAGTTCTATATTGAGTTCTTCACAATGTACCACAAGACCATCACAATGTACCACAGATTGATTGTTGGGGTGTAAATCAAATGAGCTACTTGGAGTTCATTTTAGTTCAACTTGATGAAAGCTCATTCAAGCTTGATTGCCCGTTCCTACATAAAATCGCAATACAAAGTAACATGCTATTAAGTAATGATACTTCAAACCATAATTCAATGCCTTCATACATGTTAGATATACCAAGGATAGATTTAAAGTGTTAATTGGAATGGCCATAGTATTAACTTCTCCTTCCAAGAAAAAAGAAAGAAAATAAGAGCTTGATGGACGTTGCTGGCCCAATTTTTACGTATAGCTATAAGATTGATTTAAGGGTTAAGAGTGTCAATTCCACCAAAAGCCTAAGCTTTAGAGAATGGGCCAAACAATGTAGATCAAGCTCTTACACCCTCTATCATGTGCAGCCCACTCCCAAATGTGAAAAAGCAGGCAGGCAGACTAAAAAGAGAGTATCTCATGCCACACAAAAGATGAGGCCCAAAATGGGAGTTCTTAACCTGTTTATTCAGGGATTTTTCATTCATTTATAGACAGGAAAGCATTTTGAAAACTTTGACACCACAACATCTGAATCGTGTTGGTTCAAAATTGGATATCAACGGGTATGCCAGCTTACTCCAATATTTGTCATGGATTACATCACATTTCAACCCCTATTTAAAATAAATGCTTCAATAAGAAGCAGGCAAAGATAATGGAGCTTTCGGGTGTCTGCCCAAAAATTTGAGTTACAATATTATTTCATTCAAAACTACATTGGTAGACGATTCTGAAGATGAGGATGGTGGATATGCAGGATACCAGAGAGAACCACGCCGAAATAGGGAGGTTCAAGAGTATTGCCTGAAAGTCGATATTTCTAGTTTTTGTGGGAATCTGGACATTGAACCCTTCCTTGATTGGGTTTATGAAGTAGAGAAATTTTTCGAGATTATGGAAGTGCCAGAGGACAAGCAAGTCAAATTAGTCGCATACCGATTGAAGAGTGGAGCATCTGCTTTGGTGGGATAAAATTCAAAATGGTCGAAGGCGACAAGGGAAGGGGTCTGTGAGGACATGGATGAAAATGAAGCAGTTACTGAAAGGTAGATTTTTGCCCCCAGATTATGAGCAGTACTTGTTTCAGCGGTTTCAGAATGGCAATCAAGGAACCAGATCTGTTGCTGAATATACCGAAGAATTTTTACGCTTATCTGGTACAAGAAGCTGCAAGGTATGTTAATGGACTGAAATTTTATATTCAGGAGAAGATAGGGTTGCAGCCTGTGTGGACTGTAGATGAGGTTCATAATTTGGCTTTGAAGGCGGAGTTGCTAATGGTGCGACATCCAGGTCGCACTGACCCGCGCATACTTCCTGAGTTGTAGCGCAATACTTCAGGAAATGAGAAGCAGCCACTGGCAGTTTCTGTTAGAAACTCAAGCATGGGGAAAAAGGTTGCAGAGGGGAGTAGCCCCTGTGAGGCATACTTCTGGAACAAACAACAAAAATCCTTATGTCAAGCCAACCATGAACAAGTGCTATAGATGTGGCAAGCCTGAACACCATTCGAATGTATGCCCCCCAAGTAAACCAGTACATTTCACAGATCATGAGGCAGAACGTGATGATGGTTTAGAAGAGGAAAACTATGGGAATGATAATGATTTGCTGGGTGTTGAGGTAGCAGAAGAAATATGTGAACAAGTTAGCTGTGTGGTGCAGAAGTGGTTGCGCACTCCAAAACAGGAGGAACCTTTGCAGCGACATAAAGTATTTCATTTACAATGTTCTGTTAAGCAGAAAATTTCCAACCTAATTATAGACTGTGGCAGTTGTGAGAATAATGTATTGAAGACACTCGTGGATCATTTGCAATTACCTACCAAACTTCATCATTCTCCCTACCAGATTGGGTGGATTAGGAAAGGACCCTCTATTAAGGTAACCAAGGTATGTCATGTCCCTATTTCAATTGGAAAGTTGTACTCGGCTGATGTCCTCTGTGATGTAGTAGATATGGATGTCTGTCACATTTTACTTGGAAGACCTTGGCAACATGACGTATATGCAACTCATAAGGGTAAGAAGAATGTTTACATTTTCTGGTGGAATGAGAAGAAAATTGCTGTACTTCCTAAAGAAATTAAGAATGATCCACCCAAAGCTTTTAAAGTGGAGGGGAATTCGTTCCATCCTTTGACCAGTTCTGAGGTGGAGTTTGTAAATGATGCAAAAGAAGCAGGGTATACATATGCATTAGTTGTGAAGGAAGAGGAAGCACCTACTGTGCAGATTCCTGTTGCAAAACAACCTTTACTAGAGGAGTTCAAGGAGAGCACTCTAGAAGAACAACCCGAAGGTTTACCACCCATGCTACCCCAGAAGAACTACCTGAAGATTGAGTTTGATGCTACCCTTATTTTTCACTACTTTTAGGTAAACTTGATAGGACATCAAATAAAAGATTATGAACTTAAATTTTTAGACCAATCCAAAGAAAATTAATAACAATAGAAGTGGTTAAGCAAAGATATTGATTAGCAGGCAGAGATTTAACTAGGTTAAGCAATCCAACCAACCCGTTCACCGCAAGTAGGAGAAAAAGAAGAAGAAGAAGAAGATGAGGAGGAGGAGGAGAAGAAGAAGATAGGTAGGAGGAGAAGAAGAGGATAGGGAAGAGGAGGAAAATGAAACATAGGAGAAGAAGGAAAAGGAGGAGGAGTAGGGGAAGAAAAAAGGCAACCTTTGAACACGCAACTGTTGCAGTTCTCAAACATTAAATGGAAAAGAACACCCTTGCACCTCTATTAGAGCCTCCAAAAAGGACAAAGGGGGAGATAATGAGGGATTCAAGCATGGGTAGTTATCTACCATATATAATAAAATAGATTCCAGAGTCTGCAAAATACATCCCAATTAGAAGCAATACTAAGGAAAAACTAAAACCTTCAACTGCAAAATCGGTATGCTCCTATTATTTGAATTTCTAATTCCATTAGTAGCTTCTACGTGCTACAAACTACTAATTTTTCTCAATACGTTAACCTTTTACTCCAAACAATGATTAAAAAAGGCAAAAGAATGATAAGAAGAAGAAGAAGAAGAAGAAGAAGCAAAGAAAGAGAAAATGAAAAGGAGAAGGAAGAAAAAGAGGAGGAGAAAGAGAAGTCATGAAGAATAAGGAGGAGGAGGAGTAGGAGAAAAAGAAGAGTAGGAAAAAGAGAAAAAGGAGTAGGAGGAGGAGAAAGAGAGAAGTCAAGAAGAATAAGCAGAAGGAGGAGGATGCGGAGGAAAAGGAAAGCAGAAGAAGAAGAAAAGAAAGAGGAGAAGAATGGGAAGAAAAAAAAGGCAAACTTTGGTATGCTCCTATCATTTGAATTCCTAATTCCATTAGTAGCTTGTATGTGCTACAAACTTCTAATTTTCCTCAATTCTTTAACCTTTTGCTCTCTCTCCAAGTAATTGAATTTTTTTACTAATATTTAACAACTTTAATGGGAAGATTATAGAAAAAAAAATAAGACATAATTTATTTAATAGAAGAGCAAACACAAATACATATAAACAAAGAAATGTTATGCACATATTGGTTGTGTACAATACGAAAACTACAACAGAAAATGAAAAGGAAACTATAGGTTAATAAGAGCGTTGGGGGTTGGATGTAATACAAGAATAATCATAACAAGTAAAAAACACAAAAAAAAAATAGAAATAGTTATCTGTAAAACACATTTTACATAAAAAAAAGTATATGGAAGTGGGTCAAGCAACACTCCCAAACTCGCTTTGCAAACTATCACTAATCAGTTCAATCCTCCGTATTCCTTCATAAGCCATCATTCATTCCACAAAGGAAGGCATATTAAATTAGTTATGTACAGACAAAATGAAAACCTTAAGGACAAGAAAGAGCAATAAGGAGGAAAAAAAAAACGAGTGACATGTCCATTCACTTATTTGACAAGCAAATATATATACATACTAGATTGCATGCACCACATACTTACACAACACATACATACACAACACATACAATATTTAAATACACAAAGTACTTCAAAACAAATAAAGGATATCGATAAATTTGTTAATTATTATTAACACGAATTGCAATCATATATATAATGTAAGCATAACACCTTTTATGATCTACGAAACATTATCAGTTTGTCGTATCAGTTTGTCCAATTTAACCATCTTTCAACCTTCACTCCCAAAATTTTATTCGAACGCATTGGAAAATGAAAAAGATAACAATATCAATTGAACATGTAATAAATCCAGAATAAATATTAGTTAAACATACATCAATACCCTAAAACCTAAAATCGAAAACCCCAAAACCATACAACCCTAAACAAGGAATAAAAAAAGCAAGAGAATGAGAAGAAGAAGAAGAAGAAGAAGAAGCGAAGAAGGAGAAAAAGAAAAGGAGAAGGAAGAAAAAGAGGAGGAAAAGGAGAAGAAGAATGAGAAAGAGATGAATAAGGAGGAGGAGAAGTAGTAGAAGAAGATTGGGAGAAAGAGGAGTAGGAGAAAGAGGGAAGTTAAGAACAATAAGCAAGAGGAGGAGGGGAAGAAAAAATGCAACCTTTGGTATGGTTCTATTATTTGAATTACTAATTCCATTAGTAGCTTGTACATGCTAGAAACTCCTAATTTTCCTCCGTACTTTAACTTTTTACTCCCTCCCCAAGTAATTGAATTTTGTTGCAAATATTTAACAACTTTATTGGGTAGATAATAGAGAGAGAAATAAGACATAATTTATCAAATAGAAGAGCAGACATAAACACATATAAGCAAAGAAAGGTTATGCAATTATTGATTGTGTACAATACCAAAACAACAACAAAAAATAAGAAGGAATCTGTGCATTAATGAGAATGTTGGGGATTGGATGTAATACAAGAATAATTATAATAAGTAACAAAAACAAAAAGGAAATAGAAATAGTTATCTGTAAAACACATTTTGCATTAAAAAAAAAAAGTCAATGGAAGTGGGACAAGCAAATATTCTTATCTTTCTACTCCTTAACTCGCCTTACAAACTTATCTCTGCCTTGCTGGTTTCAGCAACCTGCATTTGGACTCCACTTGGGCTTCTTTCATTTTCGGAATGATTCATATGCAGCAATGCAAGTCCAGATGCAACGTCCGTTTCTGATTCGTCCTTAGGGTGATTCTGGTCCTTTCCCTGGGCGACTTCTGCTTCGCGTTCCGATGGGCGTTTCTTCTTGCGCAGCATGAGGGTTTTAAAGCGGCCCTACACAGTCTTGCACACGTTGCATATACAAGTGGGATTGTGCCTGCCCTTTCCGCTTGGGGGCTGAATGCACACAACGCAAGTGCAGCCAGGACGATGCCGGGGATGTTTGGTAGTGGCTCCAACTGCATGGTTACCTGGGTCACCAACATTGTCTCCAAGAACTGCTGCAGTGGCCAATAATGCGTCTAAGCCAGAAGGCTCGTATTCTTGGGCTACCTTATTTCCTGTGGTTCTTCGCTTCTTAGCATCTGGGGAAAAATAGAGAAGTAAGAGAACTACAACCAAGTTTTTTGAATTTCATGGGGAAGAAAGTTGGACAAGAAAAATGAAAAGCTTCATGGAACAAAGAAATCGATGGGTGAGTGTAATCGAGAGATGAGCAAATTTTGTGCTGATGAAACAACTTTGATATCTGGTCTACTGGTCTGACACGCAGCTATGGCATTCTGAAAATTGAGGCGATTTTGACGTCAACGCGCCTTGGAACTGGATCATACATCGTCTCACCACTTTTCTAAAACATGATCTTTCATAAGCCAGCATCCATTTCACAAACAACTAAAAAGAAGGCATATTAGATTAGTTATGTACAAAGAAAATAAAAACCTTAAGGACAACAAAGAGTAATAAAGAAAAAAAAAAAGAAAAAACAAAACAAGTAACATATTCACTCACTTATTTGACAAGCAAATATATATACATACTAGATTGCATGTGCCACATACTTACACAACACACATACTATTTAAATACACAAAGCACGATATCAATTGACCATGTAATAAATCCACAATAAATATTTGTTAGACATACATCAATACCCTAAATCCTAAACCCTAAATCCTAAAACTCTAAACCCTAAACAACAATTTAAAAAAAAAAAGAGAGAGAAGGAGAAGAAGAATAAGAAGAGAAGAAGAAAAGAAGGAGAAAAAGAACAGAAGGAAGAAAAAGAGGATGAGAAAGAGAGAAGTCATGAGAATATGCAAGAGGAGTAGGAGAAGAAGATGATTGGGGAGACATAGGAGTAAGACAAGGAGAAAGAAAGCAGTAAAGAAGAATAATCATATGGAGGGGAGGAGGAGGAGAAGAAGATAAGGAGTAGAAGGAGGAAAAGGAAAAAATAGAAGAAGAAGAAAGATGAGGAAGAGGAGGAGAAGGGGAAGAAAAAAGGAACCTTCGGTATACTCCTATTATTTAAATTCTTAATTCTATTAGTAGCTTCTACGTGCTACAAACTTCTAATTTTCCTCCGTGCTTTAACATTTTGCTCCCTCCCCAAGTAATTTAATTTTGTTGCCAACATTTAATAACTTTAATGGGAAAATAGTAGAGAAAAAATAAGACATAATTTATCTAATAGAAAAGCAAATGCAAACACATACAAGTAAAGAGATGTTATATAATTATTGGTTGTGTACAATACAAAAATAACAACGAAAAATGAAAAAGAAAATTGTGGGTTAATGAGAGTGTTGGGGGTTGGATGTAATACAAAATGATTACAAAATTAACAAACACAAAAAAAGAAAGAGAAATAGTTACTATAAAACACATTTTGCATAAAAAAGAAAGTCAATGGAAATGGGACAAGCAGATATACTTATCTTTCCACTACCAAACTCATTTCTATCCACTCTAACCCTCCTTATTCCTTCATAAGCTAGCATTCATTAAACAAACAACTGAAAGAAAGGCATATTAGATTAATTTTGTACGGAGAAAATGAAAGTCTTAAGGACAACAAAGATCAATAAGGAAAAAAAGAAAAAAAAATGAATGACATGTCCACTAACTTATTCGACAAGCATATATATACATACTAGATTGGATGTTTCATATACTTACACAACACATACAATATTTAAATACACAAAGTACTGCAAAACAAGTAAAAGACATCGATAAATTTTCTAATCATTATTAACACGAATCACAATTATAAATATCATGTAAGCATAACTCCTCTTATAATCTACTAAGCATAATCAGCTTGTCCAATTTATTCATCTCTCAAACTCTACTACTAAAGTTAAATTTGAAGACATTGGGAAATGAGAAATAAAACAATATCAATTGACCATGTAATAAATCCACAAAAAATTAGTTAGACATACATTAATACCCTAAAACCGAAAACTAGAAAACCATTAAACCCTAAATAATGATTAAAAAAAGCAGAAGGAGGAGGTGGAGGAGAAAAAGAAGAGAAAGAAAAGGAAAAGGAAGAAAAAGAAGAAGAAGAGGAGGAGAATGAGAAAGAAAGAAGTTAAGAAGAATAAGTAGGAGGAGGAGAAAGAGAAAAGTCAAGAAGAATAAGGAGGAGGAGGAAAAGGAAAAGTAAAAGAAGAAGAAAGAAGAGAAGGGAAGGAAAAAGGCATCCTTTGGTATGCTCTTATTATTTGAATTCCTAATTCCATTAGTAGCTTCTAGCCTTCTACGTACTATAAACTCCTAATTTTCCTCAATGTTTTAACTTTTTGCTCCCTCTACAAGTAATTGGATTTGTTGCCAATATTTAACAACTTTAATAGAAAGATAATAAAAAAAATAAGTCATAATTTATCTAACAGAAGAGCAAACATAAACACAAATAAGCAAAAAAATGTTATACAATTATTGGTTGTGTACAAAACGAAAATAACAACGAAAAATAAAAAGAAAATAATGGGTTACTGAGAGTGTTACGGGTTAGATGTAATATAAGAATAATTATAATAAGTAAGAAACACAAAAAGGAAAAAGAAATAGTTATCTGTAAAACACATTTTTCATAAAAGAAAAAGTCAATGGAAGTGAGACATGCAGATATATTTATTTTTTACTCCCAAACTTGCTTTGCAAACTCATCTCTACCGAGTTCAACCCTCCTTATTCTTTTATAAGCTAGCATCCACTCCACAAACAATTGAAAGAAAGACATATTAGATTAATTATGTACATAGAGAATGCAAGCCTTAAAGGTAACAAATAGCAATAAGGAAAAAAAGAAAAAAGAACGAGTGACATGTCCACTCACTTATTCGACAAATAGATATATAGACATCCTAGATTGCATGCGCCACATACTTACACAACACATATATACACAACACATACAACATTTAAATACATAAAGTACTCCAAAACAAGCAAAAGACATCAATAACTTTGCTAATCATTATTAACACAAAACGCAATCATATATATCAAGTAAGCATAACTCCTCTTATGATCTACTAAGCATTATCAGTTTGTCCATTTTATCCATCTATCAAGCTCCACCACCAAAGTTTCATTTGAAGGCCTTGGGAAATGAGAAAGATAACAATATCAATTGACTATGTAATAAATCTAGAATAAATATTAGTTAGAAATAAACCAATACCCTAAACCCTAAATACTAAAATCCAAAACCATAAACGTGAAACCTAAACATGGATTACAAAAAGCAAGAAAAGGAGAAGTAGTGAAGAAGGAAAAAAAAAAGTGAAGGCAGAAAAAGATGAGAAAGAGAAAGGGGATGAAAAAAAGAGAATTCAAGAAGAATAAGCAAGAGGAAGAGTAGGAGAAAGGGAAGGAGTAGGAGGAGGAGAAAGAGAGAAGTTAAGAAGAATAAGCAAAAGGAGGAGGAGGAGGAGGAAAAGAAGATAGGGAGGAGGAGAAGAAGAAGATAGGGAGGAGGAAGAAGAAAAGGAAAAGTGGAAGAACAAGAAAGAGGAGGAGAAGGGGAAGAAAAAAGACAACCTTTGATATGCTCCTATTATTTGAATTCCTAATTCCATTAGTTTTCCTCCATACTTTAACATTCCCCCCCCCCCCTCCCCCTCCCCCTCCCCCCCATAATTGGATTTTGTTGTCAAAATTTTAAAAAACTTAATTGGGAAGATAATAGAGAAAGAAATAAGACATAATTTATCTTATAGAAGAGCAAATACAAACACATATAAACAAAGAAATGTTATACAATTATTGGTTATGTATAACACGAAAACAATAACGAAAAATGAAAACAAAACTATGGGTTAATAATAGTATTGGGGGTTGGATGCAATATAAGAATGATTATAATAAGTAAAAAACACAAAAAAGAAATAAAAATAGTTATCTGTAAAACACATTTTGCATAAAAAAAATTCAATGGAAGTGGTACAAGCAATTATTCTTATCTTTCCACTCCATAACTCGTTTTGCAAACTCATCTCTACGCAGTTCAACCTCTTTATTCCTTTTATAAGTTAGCATCCATTCCATAAACAACTGAAATGAAGGCATGTTAAATTAGTTATGTACAGAGAAAATGAAAGTCTTAAGAACAACAAAGAACAATATGAAAAAAAAAAAAAAAAAGAACGAGTGACATGTCCACTCACTTATTCGAAAAGAAGATAACTTACACAACACATACATACAATATGTAAATACATAAAATACTCCAAAACAAGCAAAGGACATCGATAAATTTGCTAAACTTTAATAACACGAATCATCATCTTACATATAATGTAAGCATAACTCCTCTTATAATCTACTAAACATTATCAGTTTATCAAATTTTTTCATCTCTCAAACTCCAGCACCAAAGTTTCATTTGAACTTTGAAGGTATTGGGAAATAAGAAAGATAACAATATCAATTGACAATTTTATAAATTCAGAATAAAAATCAATTAGACATACATCAATACCCTAAACCCTAAACCCGAAAACCATAAAACCCTAAACAATGACTAAAAAAGCAAAAGAAGGAGAAGAAGAAAAAGCGAAGGAGAAGAAGAAAAAGAGAAGGAAGAAAAAGAGGAAGAGAAAAAGAAAGTTGATGAGAAAGAGAGAAGTCACGAAGAATAAGCAGGAGGAGAAGCAAGAGAAGAAGATTGAGAAAAAGAGAAGTAGCAGTAAGAGGAGAAAGAGACAATTCACGAAGAATACGCAGGAGGAGGAGGAGGAGAAGGAGAATAAGAAGATAGAGAGGAGGAATGGCAAAAGGAAAAGTCGAAGACCAAGAAAGAGGAGGAGAAGGGGAAGAAAAAAGGCTACCTTTGGTATGCTCCTATTATTTGAATTCCTAATTCCATTAGTTTTCCTCCATATTTTAACACTTTTCCCTCCCCACGTAATTGAATTTTGTTGCCAACATTTAACAACTTTATTAGGAAGATAAAATAGAAAGA